GACGTTGCTTGCCAGCGCGCGTCCTGCCATAGATAATTTCTCCCCTGTTCGTACAACTCCTGATATTCCTTGCCCCTGGCCCTCGGTGCGGGTGGGATATTCAAGGGTGACGGGTCGGGGTCGTTCGGCATTTCCTCGCCTGATTGCCTCGTCCCAGCTGACGATGCTGGCGGGTCCCGTCCATGGGTCACTGTCTGAGTCGGGCTCTCTGAAGGGAGATCCGTTATCGGAACGGAGCTCATACTCCCTAGGGGAGGCTGACCCCATTCTCTCGACCTCCTCCATTCTCCTTTGCTCCCTTCCTTGTTGGTCATACTCTGCGGCCTCGTACTGCTCTCGGGCCTCTTCTCGAATGTAGTCGGCGAGCTCCTCCTGGGTTCGCCTGATCTCTTCCTCTCGGTTCTGGTTCTGCTGCTGCTGCCGTACTGCTTCATCGTAATCGAAGGGAACGGCAAGGTCCCACTCCGGGAATATTCTGTGTATAATTCTTCTTGTTGCGGCTCTTCCCCTTTCACTAGCGGTCCCGTCCTCGGGCTCGCTCCCGACGTGGAGGTGCCGGTAGGGGTCCCCTGCTGCCGAGATGGTGATGTCCGCGTTGTCGTAATCGGGATGGATCGTCCTTCCCTGAGGGTCGTCAACCCCCAGCCTGCTGACGGATGGGCTGGGGTCGGAGTTGGGCTCGGTGGGGGTTTCAGGGGGGTTCTGGGGGGTGTGGGGACTTTCGCGGGGTCCCGCAGCCATCCGAGCGGCATCAAGGGAGTCCCGAGCACGGTTTCCAATCCCTGAGGGAATTGGGGAGGCGGGATGCTCGGGGGAGTTGGCCGGAGTGACGTAGTTGGAGACCTCGGCGGGCTCCTGAGCGACGTCCGTCGTCCACGGGTTCCGGAACCCTGTGAGAGCAGGGTGGCGGTCTCCGCCGTCTCGTCGGATGGGGCGTCGGGGTCCTTCCTCCTCGTGAAGGCTCCCCGAATTCGGGTTGCTATTCCCGGCTTCTGGTATGGGTCCCCCTTGCGGGAAGAAGGACGTTCTGGCAGAGGGGGAGATGTCATGGAAAGGGAGGTCCGGGGTTACGTTTCGTAGTATTTGCTGGATGTGCTGGAATGCTTGATAGTGCCTGACTATCCAAGCTGCTACTGATTGTCGTCTGCGGCAAAGGGTAATGATAGCGAGAAGTCCGAGCAGTGTTCCGATGATCGAGGCAATAAGCTCGAAGAAGTCGTGATTTAAGTCGGCGGTGGTTACTGGCGGCATTCGGTTTCTCAGCACAATTGGGCTTGAGAAAGGGAAGGTAGAAGCTTCGAGCTAATTGTTAAGCCCAAGCGTCACGTGAACAGATACACGTGATAAACAGATGTTCCTTCGCACTTCGAGGAATCACCTGAGTTCACGAAGATATACACGTTTTAGATGTGACCCAAGGTCAGATGTAGACTCGAGATAGAATGGTGTGTATAAACTTTAGCTCGAAGCTGGGGTATACCAGCGAGAGCTGTCGTCCTTAAATACTGTACAGTTATCTGCTAATTATACTCCTACTTATTATGTGTGTCTATGTCCATTATGCTTGTTGTCCTGGAGCGTCGCTATCGTACATAAAAGGTCGATTGTATGTCGTCGAGCGCGACCATCATGATGTCTCGATGGAAGGTTTTAGTTGTGCTGACTAAGCTTCCCACGGTCTCATGCCTTTCGACCTATCGTAAATAGGGGTTTAAAGAAAGAAAATAGTAAAAAATCGTAACATGAAGTATCACACAGCATAGAACCCACTTGCAATAGTGAATAATATCAGGCTTGGATGACTGATGTTCAACAAATCAGACTACATTAGGACTCAGAAGCTCCCCTTCAAACTCAAACAACATCTGTTTAAAGCCAAGAAGCTTTATATGTGGAAAGACATTGATGAAATCAAGGTGAGTACACTTGTAGTCCAACTATTTCCCTTAGACTGGATGCATGACATCTCAGTAGAGATTGATGGAAAGGACAAGACTGTTGTCTTGTTCCTAGAGCTTCTCTGAGCAATCAAGGATGATTGCCTTGAAGAGATAGTAATATCATGATTTTAGCCTCTAATCATAATCTTTTAATGCTTTTTTTTAGTAAGCTGACACTTATGAAAGCCTGATAATCTCTGATGAATAAATGCTTTCAGTCATGCAGAAATCCTGCCAAAGCCATATGAAACCATGGATGATACATACATAATGACACTATACTGTGTCTTACTTATCACCATATGATACACAGCCAGCATCAATACTGACCACACAAAATGACTGTGCAACAGCACAGTCTTAGCCAGAATGACTATGGGTTATGCAATACTTGCTGTAGCAACAGTATTGAGAGTAGACAATAGTATGCTCACAAGGCATAGAGAGTATTGTCATTGGACAATGAGTAGTAGATATAACAATGAGATAATAATCACCTGTAAGGCCAAGACATTTTTAAACAATATTTAAGTCATTGGTAGTTTATAATGGTGTACTCTAGTCTCAAGCTAAGATTAATTTATACTGATCAAACTCTTTGACACTTAATGTGACTACTGCTTCAGTACTTACACTGGCAGCTGTAGTCTCTATCTCATCATTCTTATCATTCTGCTTTATCATCAGTTAGTGTCAGACTCTGGCAGTTGCAATGCCAATCACTTGTGATTGTTTAGTCATTATCTGACATCAAATAGGAGTTGGTCAGCATAATTTCCAGGATGCAGTTGATAGTAAAGATGTCATAGGTAGTACTATACCAGAAAGGCTAGAGGAAGACATTGTGGAACTGGTAGAGACTGGGCTGAGCTGATCTTCCCGAGGCAGAGTACTCATCTCACAAGTGTGCTTGATCTGAATGACAGCTTCTCTTCTAGGAATATTGTGTCTGTCTTTGACATAGCACAGAAGATACTCTTATCAATCCTTCTTCTAGTTATTTATAGGTTTCAGCTTTTGGCCTTTTGTGGAATGATCCAATACTCTTACAAGAGGTGACAAGTCTGACATGGGTATGCACTATTTTGTTCTGTGTTTGCTAACAATGACACAGTGCTTGAGGGCAAAAACCTTGAAAATAGTACTGTTGATGAAGCAGATATTTACATGTCAGTGAAGTGAAAATATTTTGCATAACACTCCCCTTGCAAAATGGTCAAAACGTGCGGGTGGTCTCTGAAAAGGGAATAGCACGTGACAATGGTCCTCATGTAATTTCCCGCTTTTTGGTTCAATTGCTTTGCGCAGGCACACTGTTATGCACATTCATCCTCGTTCATCTCCAGCGTTTATCCATTATATCTGGATAGCGAAACCCCGGTATCTCGATCAACCGCTTGCCTTTCCCCTGTCAGAGTAACATATGGCTGCCCGCACTTCGTATGCTGATGTCGCACAGCTTCTGACCTAGTTCTGACCTTCTTGACAATGCAACTTGTATGCAATGCTCTCTCGGTAGGATTGGCGGCAACAATAATTGGGACGGCTGGCCTATCAGAAGACCACGGGGCTTGCATATGCAGTCGAAATTAAGCGAGCGTCAAGGGCTGCGGCAACGGAACAGTCATCGTACTAACTTAACACGTACATATCATAATCCCTCTCATGATCATGGTCTGTATTTACTGTTCTTACTGTCACACCGATCTGACCCTGCCTGCGATCCTCAAGCTCAGCCGTAATCTGCAATCAGCAATTCCGACTCCTCCCTGCTACCATGCAGCGTGCAGGTCTTGATATTTTTATCTTGGCTACTGCTGGTTTCATTTTAAGGTCCTACTTTATGCGGCCAGATAATTCTGGCACCTACAGAATTTCTTGCTTTGCCATTTGCAGAATCGACCAGTAAGCGTCATTGCTTCACTCGCATAAAAGGACGACAGCCGGGGACCTCAAACCTGCGCCACCTCGTTCAGGTTCAGGTGGGACGCACGATCAACACGGAGCGACCCTGTTTTCAATCAAGAAGTCTAGAATTCATTAAGTTTCTCATGTCAGTGCATTCCTTCCAGCCCCTTCTATCTACCACGAGTTTTGGTAGCTTGCTCCTCTGACCTACCATGCTATAGCTATCCTCTATATGTGCCGATGGTGGTTTTGCCGCACTAGATATGTATATACTCGTCTGACAGATCACTCTGCAGATTATCTGCATCTTCTCAATCTGGGCTGGGCTTCATAAAACCATTGACGACCATCACTTTGTGTGGTAAATGTTTCAGCTGATTTGCGGTTGCAGCAAGTGTAATTGACTTTGACCTGACCAGTACTGGGTTGTCTTGCCTATGAAAATCCTGTCTCCCCGACGCTTCTGACTTTACCTTTCAGACGAGACCGAAATAACGTCGTTCACTTGTTGTTCAGCTGAATGCTCGTCCAAAAAAAGGCCTTCCTTCATCAGAAGAGTCTCACGAGTGACAAAGAAAGAGATGAAGGAATAGTGCTGCCGAAACGAACCCAGGCCTGCAAGCTTCGAAAATCAAGATCCAGCCGGTGAAGGATGAGGACAGTACAGACCGCCAAATTCCTGATGGCTTATCAGTGATATGATGGATGTTGGCCGTGGAGCGATTGGAGATAAAGATGTAGAGATATAAATTAAGCAGTCGAACCGGCGCGTCCATCTGCCATTCAAACTGCCTTGATCTCCCTGGCCTCTGTCCTCAGCTCGTAGAATCTCTGAAGTCAGTCACTTGATTCGATATTGTGTGAAAAGCGGCAAGATCTCTGTGTAATAATCTAAACGGAGAGCCCTTCATAGTTGTATTCGCAGATATTATGCTCTCAAGTATATCTTCAACATCTTCCAAGACAAGAAAGACGAACCTATGAACTTGACCCAAGCGCTTTTCGTGCAATTTCAGAAGCCGATAGACTGTAAGAGGTCAAGCTCCGGGATATCGTTGTCTGTGAGTAATAGGGTCTTTCAAGAACCATGGTTTCGGCCGCCGTAACCTCACCTTTCCATCCCATAGCGTAGACAATATCAAAAACATGGAAGGGTTCATTGCCGGAGAATCTACACCGCTCGCTTCGGGTTCTGATCTATCAACAGGCGCCTGGGTTAAGGCGAACATGTCTTAGAAGAAGGGCGACGCGAGTGAGAGAATGAATTTGTGCGCATGGTATCAGAATAATTGGCCATGTTATCCGAACTATCGAATGATTATGAAGCATCCTTTCCCGAAAAAATAGGTTCAGCCGTGAAGCTGTAGAAAATGCAAACAGTCAGTACCGCCTGGCGCACTGGCAGCCGGCGAACCTAAGCACGTACTTCATCCCCATCGATGTAAGCCAACTTGTAAGCGTCATCCGTACGTTGTTTGTGGAACCTTAAAAGTCGATATATAATACGTGGTAACTCGAGGATGTCGGGATATCGTCATCTTCCCGTGTCAGTAGAGGTCTTTGGAGTACCGCATCTGCAGCCGCGGCTGCCTCTTGCTTCTATAGCGTAAAGCAATCGCAAAGACCGTAAGGGCTCCGTTCCAGAGTCGCAGAACTTACGTAGCTCGCTTCGAGTCCTGAGAGCTACGTCCTGCGTAAGGTATTTCCTGGCCATGGTTACCAACACATGGTACAATACAGATATGTCCTTGAATGATAGATCCTTAGTAGGGTAGCAAAAGCGAAGAATTGTCCCGATGGTCTGACCATCTTCGGCCATCGGAATTGTAGGAATGGATCCCTGTTGGCCGGTGGCTGAGCTATCGCGAGCATGTCTTTGAGAAAAGATGACAAAAGATGACACAAGTGAGAGAATGAGTTTGTGCGCGTGGAAGTGTACGTTGTCGCATGCTATCAAAATGACATCGGTCGTGGTGTCTGAACCGTCGAATGAATATGAAGCATCTAATTATGGAAGACTGGGTGAAGTAGATATTCGGTGTGAGCAGCGCATTGAGTGTAGGATCAACGTTCAACGTCCAACGGCTGAAGCTCGCCTGACTGCAGGTGAAAAAAACTTCTATCAAGGTTGACAGTCATTGCCTAGCGGATGGGCGATATTTGGCTCACCGATGTGTAATTCATAAAGATGTGCCGCTAAGAAATACAATGGCAGGTTATCTGAGAGAGGTGAGGCGGACTTGAGGGCAGGTTCCAAATTCGGCCAATGAGCAGATTTGATTATATGTCTGTAATTATTGTGAGAATACTATTACACTGGTATATGCTTGATATATATACTCGCATGCTATCGATCTGTCCCATCCCTCTCCAACATCTCAAAGTCAGTGTCTTCCTCCTCCGGCCTCAACGCCTCTTCTTCCTCACTTGCCCCCACTTTCTTCCTGCTCCCATTCCTAGTGAACAATCTCGATACCCATCCACTCGAACTTCCACTCGACATCCCCTTCGCATGTTTTGATTTGGGTGGGTATGAGGGTCCAGGTAAGAACGATACATGTTCATCGGTAGAGGTCAGTGGAACGGTGTTGTAACCAGATTTTTCATCTTCACCAAACACAGCATCCATCTCTTCAAGAGGGACGCCCTTCGTTTCGGGGTATACTGACGTGAGAAGGTCAACTCTGAAGCGGGAGTGGATGAAAGGAGCGACCTACGGAAATAAACTTTCAAAGTCGTCAGCATGGGCAAAGAAGGGATCAGAGGAATCGACATACCCAAGATGAAACTGCAGGCGCAGAAAAACCCGTGCATGAAATAGAGGCGCCATTCTATTACCTCTTGCAAGTAAGGCGTTATTTCACCGACGAGTGTGTTGAACGCCCAATTGGTCGCTGTCGATAGTGACACGCCTTTTGCACGTACAGTAAGTGGCATGATCTAGAAAAATTAACAGTCGAGCTATAGAAACAGGAAAGAGCATTACCTCTGGAGGGTACAGCCACGGTAGTGGACCCCAACTACAAACTTCCATCAACGAAGGAAAATGCGACTGGAAGCAAAAACCAACCTGAATCCAAAAGCAGCATTAAAGATGATGACGCACGCCACCACAGCATTAGGCGTTTCTGGTAAGTCGAGATATAGCCAGTATCCCGTAGCGCAGAGTGCCAGACACATCTACAGACGCAACAGTGAGCCATAGATCCTGGGGACAGCTTTGAGGAAGATTCACCACAACGGCACCCGACAGCAAGATCGGTCGACGTCCCCATCGGTCAACTAGGTACCATCTAAGACACCGAGTGAGGAATAGCGGCTGAAGATGATGGAAGGAACGCACGGCGGTAAAGTACTAAGGAGATATATTAAGGAATTAATTCCTGTCATAAGTAGAGCTTGTCGACCTAGCCAGCCAGCCTCTGAAGCGGGAGTCGTCAGAATGCGCTCTGTGGTGATGTCTCTGCTGACTACTTGCCTTCAAATACTTTAGCTGCGAGTAAAGGGGACGGGTAAACATTCGAGTTGCAGAGTGCCAAGGAAAGTCACTCACGAGCATAATAAGAAATAACTGTAATCGTAGTGAAGATCAACGGAGGTAAACAAGCTAATGCACGACGCACCATTGATGCCATTTAGTTGAGCAAATGCTTGCGATGACATGGCCAGTAGCACGCGCCGCTTATACTTTTTCCACATCATTGCATACGTCCGGGCCTCGCCGGATTGTCTCTGCGAATGCCCAAATGAGATATTAGTTATTTAGCCTACTAGGACGTACCTCCATGATAACTTTGTCCTTGATTTCCCTGTATTCCGCCCGGGCAACAACGTTGTCCAGGTCACCGCCATGGAGGTCCGCAAGTACCCGCAATCCTTCATCATCCTTATCCGTGTCTATGAGCCAGCGAGGACTTTCCGGAAGGACTAGTGATCCAGCGGCAAGGATGGCGCCAATGACGCATTGAACAAACAAAGGTATTCGCCATGCCATGTTTGAGTCTATGAACGAGGAAAAGTAGTCGGTCCAGACAGAAAATGCATAACCAAAGATGTTGCCGGTGAATTCTACGCAAGCCAAAGCTCCCCTCTGCGAGAATATTAACCAACAGCTGATTCGAACAAAATAAAAGTCATACATGATTTGGCGGTGATATTTCACTCTGATATATGGGCACGATAGTGCTGTGAACACATCAGCGCTGGGCACACGACCAGCCCTGAGATGACGACGCACGATAGAAGGCCAACGCCAAACCCACTGAAAATCCGTCCCACTACCATTACTGCGAATCCGGTTGTAAATGTCTGCACCGCTCCGCCCAAGGTAAACACCAGTGCTCCAATAAATAGCGTTCCCTTTCGGCCAATGATGTCTCCTACACGTCCAGCAGCCAGAGAAGTCACTACAAATGTTCATAGTCAGAACCGCGTCCACAAAAACATACGGAGAATACATACCGAATGCACCGACTTCCAACACAGCAACCATGCTCCCAACCTGTATCGGTCCTGGCCTACCGAAGAACTGGATGAAATGGGGTCCCGTTATGATACCTGACATGACACTGCAAAAACCATCAACTTCGACGTCTATTGCGCATCGCTCCGCGGCTTCTTACCCTTGATCATACCCGAACTGGGGAAGAAATGATGATAAGCTGGCAATTTCCACTTGCAGAAACATAGTGACCCACAAGAAATACGCCTAGACTGGCGAAGATAGATACAACATATAATAACGGCTGGCCCACCAGCCTGCGGCGAGACATTTTGGAAGGGCCGCGAGGATTATTTCTAGGGGGCCTATATTCGAATCCGTGGCGGGCAACGGAGGGGGAGTTTGTAAAAGGCGTGATCTTCCCGCGGTGCTTCGAATTTCGTGTTCTTCCCACGGTGCGGTACGGTGCCTGCCGGCGCCAAAAAATACCCAATAATTTTGACATTCTAGTCGTCGCCTAATATTCTTGATAATGTTCAGTACTTAGAGGATTTTTTGAAACAACCACTCTGAAGATCATCCCTTTATAATATTAGTAGAAGCAACATTGTGGTTCAGTGGTCTAGTGGTTATGATTTGTGTCTCACAACCGTAAGGTTTCGCACACAAGGTCCCCAGTTCGATCCTGGGCTGAACCATTTTTATGCCTGCTTGGATGTAATATGCATTGAATATGGATTCTGGTCCCTGGAAAGTGGCCATTGTCTCTTAGTACATCCACACAATACCTTCTAGGGGTAATATAGAGTTTTACTGTTATAGTCGTTACGTAGCACCCTATCACGCGACAGCGTCTCCTCCGAATTCTTTTGTATTTTCAAAACCTGATAGGTGCTACATAACATGGATAGTGAAATTCTGGCCCGTGCATACTACGTAGTCGCATTTTACTGCGACGAATAACTCTCCGATGGCTTGCCAGTGACTCGTCGATCGTTACTAGTGCCATTCTCGAAAATTCGGAACCAATATGGCACAGCCACACTGCTTGTTCACTACTAGTGCCATGCCCCAAGCGTACGGTCCCAACGTCAACGGCTACGCAGGTTACGCCTACCCTATACTCTCGCCACCGAAACCTAAGCCAGCAGTGAAACCTGTCAATGTCTTTTCTGATGATGGTTCTTTCCTAGACCGCATCCGACGCAGCATGAAGGTATGATATGTATCATTCTCACTACTTATCTTTGTCTTGCGTTCAGCTCTGAAGGCAAAACAACCTCTTCACAGGAAGAAGACGAAAAGCGTAAACGTGAGGAGGATCTCGAAAGGTCAGCACATGCTATTCTGCCCGTCGTTCTCTGCTTATCATGAATGCGGTCTCCAGAAAGAGAAACTTCGATAACCGTTTTGTGAGTTGACCCTCATCACCAGTGGAACATCCATTTATCATACACCAGAGGAATCGAGGGAAACGACCACTCCCAGCTACAGACTCGACTTCTGCAAAACCGCCTACAAAGAAACAGAGGTCTGACAATACTTCAGTAAAGAGTGCGCTGATCATTGCTTAACAACAACTAATGCTGATTCCTGCATGCTTAGCTGAATACCAGAAGCTTGTCGAGGACCATTCCAAACGTAATCTCAAAGGCGATGGCGCTGGTGGGCACACACTCACTCGGTAGATGCTGAATGCGTTATGATTATAGAATCCAAGCTGAATATTGTTACCGCCTAAGTGAGTATATGATGCTCTCCTCCCTACTCCTGTACTAATGATGTCCGCCGTTCGTAGTATCAATGTTTAGCTCCTTCCCTTTTGTCCAGCATAACCGAATAGAGGTTTGATAGCTTGAATTTCTGCAAAAAAAAATGAAGAACGCTATAATACCCATGTGGTGCAGCTGCAATGATAATATAATTTTGTTTTCATTGCTTATGCTTCCAAAATCCGGAATACCTAATTGAACGAATCAGCAAAAATATAACATCGACTCATTGGTACATACCTTCACAACACCGCTCTTCATGTCCTCCAAGCGGTAGCTCACTGATTCCACCGTCTAGTTTGATCATTAATAATTGGTAACAGGCCATGAATTTTAGAAGAACCTACCTGTTGCCCTACATGCTGGTTTGCCTGGAACACTCTGAGTTTAAACTTCTTCACTTCAAACTCACTGACGATACCAACAAGCGGCTCCTTCGCGCCCACATGCTGGCTGTACGTCTGAATGCCTTTATGTCCCTTCAATTTGGCATCCGAAAGCCACACAACATCACCAGGCATGATATCTCCAGCCCTCTTCTGCACCGAAGACCCCGTCTGCATATACATGACATATCCGTATGATGGAGGGGAAGGCGGCGCTGCACCTGGCACCTCGTGCAAGACAGCTTCGATGAATCCATGATATGACCCATCGCCAATCAACGCCTTCTTCGACTTGTCATACAACGATGTGGCCACTTCACACACCTGGACACCAATGCGACCCCATATCGCCATCAACTCCTCTGAAGTGAGAACCGCATCTTCTTGGCTCTTTGAGGGCTTGATAATTTCGGGTGGTGCAGGAGCAGGAGCAGGGATGGCTGTCGCTGTCTCCGCTACATCATCAGTCCATGACACTGACATGGTAGCACCGGAACCAAACTCGAGCGAGGAGCTCGGAATCGATGGTAGCACCCACTGCGAGGATATGCTATCAGACAGCTCCATTCGGGAAGGAGTATTATCGGAGAAAGGCGGTGGCGGCGGTAGCGCTCCGGTTCGAGGAGGCCGAGTTACAAGCTTCGGAGGAATATCTTGCGCCTCAGGTTCATCAACCATGATGAAGTCATACTGGGGTTTGTGTGTCAGATGCGGATCTGCGCCAGTCTCACCATAGGATGATTTAATAGATGTCACAGTTTGGACGCTGGTTCGTCGTGGAGGAACTGCTATAGGCACAGGCGGACGACCAGGAGGAAGGGGAGTCGGCGATTGCATTGCAATTCGCGACGATGCTGGTGGAACCTCCGTCGACATCAGACGCTGCACCGACGTTCGTCTGCCTTCGCGAGTAGGAATAGGCGGAGGAGGTATTTCCTCAGGCACCTCGTCAGCTTCCTCGAATTGAATCTCTTCCGCTTCACTCTCTTCTGCTTCCACTTTGACCACATCGTCAGATGTCGCTTGACTCCCTTGCTCAGAATCAGTCTCCTGTGTTTCGGTCGGCGGCGGCGCTCGAGGCATGGGAGGGGCTCGAACAGGTGGATGTGGAGGTATATGACATGGAACTGACGATGGCAAAACACCAACACCCATAGGCATCATGCCAATCCGCATTCCACCCATACTTATCAATTTGGCGGCAATACGTTCCTTGCGTGCACGTTCTTCTTGCTCTTCAGTGACCTCTTCCACAGATTCCGGTTCATCTTCTTCTTGCTGATTTCCCTCAGCATCCTCCTGGACGTCGAGGGATCTCTGAGGCAGGGGCGGAGGTCGTGATGTCGGAATAGGGGGAGCACCGAACTTGATCCCGCCCAGTTTCGCCATCCGTTCAGCAATTGTCCGTCGCCTCTCTTGTTCCGGTTCCATTTCAATAGGCACTTCAATCGACGCGGGTTCTATAACGTGTGCTGGTAATGTTGCTGTAGCCGGTCCAGAAACCATCGAAGATGGGGCTGCAGGTTCTCGTATATAGGAACTCACAGAAGCGGATGGAGATGCAGGCTCTCTTATAGACACAGCTTGTTCTCGAACGCTGTTATATGACGCACGCCTACTCGGGCTGTGGAATGTCGGATCAATTGGATCTATATATTCGTAAATTTTATCAGTGCTCGACAGATTGGTATGGAAATTATTGAACCTACCACCCTCTTCCTCATCCAAAATCTCTTGTTCTGAAGAGTGGTCGCTGACAGAAACAGTGGGAGTCAGCATAGGTGGCGTATGGGGTCGCCGACGTAATTCGAGGCCAGGAGGAACTTTTATCGACTCCCTCCTCACAGGCGGAGGAATGATCAAGGGCTGCTCCTCTAAAGCAGGAGATGGGCGCCTTGGAGGTGGTGGAGGTAATGGTATTGCTTCTTGATCGGACTCTACCTCTTCTGCTGGAACAGGAGGAATAGAACGGTGAGGATGTGGGTGTACAGATGCCGAAGGTGTCTCTATCTCGGATTGGTCGCTTGATTGAGATAATGATCGCTGCGGCGCAGGAATGGAATGACGGAAAGGTCCTGGATGAGGAAGAGGCTCTGTTTCATCATCCTCTTCAGTAGCCTGTGACGGCAGGATAGAAAAAGATCGCGGGGGCGGTATTTGCAGAGGCAATGTTGGTGATATCGGTGAATCATGTGTGACAGACGGCGGAGGAGGAACTGAACGCTGTGGTGGCGCAGCGAAAAGAGCACTATCTTCAACCTCTGTAGTGGATGCAAGTGGCGGCGAAATCGATGTGCGTTTCGGTGAGACAACAACGATGTCGTTGTCATCTACGCGCTGTATGGAAAGCCTTCGCAGTGGCAGAGTAGCAACAGGCTCAGGTGCCGGGATAGACGGCCGTGTGCTACTCGCGGGCAATGGCGGTGGAGGCCCGGAAGTAGCCAGCTGCGGCAGACGGGTATTCTTGTCATCAATCTTATCCTGATCCTCAATTACGGGCGAAGCCTTCTCATCATGGATTGATATTCCCTGATCGTCATCAATCGACTCCGCATCCCAATTCGTCTCGACCTGATACTTCACTTCGACAGCAGCCACACCCCTTGCACTGATCTCTTCCTCATACGACTCCGGCTCTTCTGTTATCCCGATGGGGAATCTCGGTTCTGGTACACCCTGAACGGGTATAGCGTCTACGAGACAGCAAAAAGAATCAAATCAATATTTGTTACACATTTTATCATCGATAACACAAAAGGAAATAGAGGAAAACATTAATATTTACCATCCTGAGATCGTCTCTTCGCACCAGCATGGATTTGTTCTCCTGAAGTTGCTGAATCAACACTGCGAGTTCTAGTTGGAGGCGAAGCGATGGCCATTGCTGGAGAGTTCTCACTGAACTGAGAACTGCGACGGCGCGGTGGAGTTGTATTGAAACTGGACTCTTCTTCAACCGGGGCCTCGTCGATAGATGGCTTTCTGATGCTCAACTTTCTCTCCGGAGACTTTGAAATAGATCCAACGCTCGCACGTTTCTGGACTGTGGGCGATTGCGGCGCAATAACATCGGATACATTCGAAGTGGTGCTTGACTTCCTCTGAAGTGAGGGAAGAACAAACGGATTGATTCCACCCATCTTGGCAATTCTCTCAGCGACGCGCTTGTGCCTGGCTTCTTCATCCTCCTTTTCTTCAGCGAATGGGACAGACGGCTCCGGGGCGGGAGAGAGATGTTCCTCTACAGGCACCTCTGAGATATCATCAGGACCCAGCTCCTGGCTTGGTTCAGATGTCTTCATAGACGCTTCGGGTAGATCGATGTGACCCTGAAACGAAGGTGATTCGGGAGATACTCTAATGTCTGCGACATCAGCTTCAACAACAAGGGGAGAGATGAGCTCTTCATTCGTGATGCGTGCTTTTGCAGCTTCAGTAAGTGAGCCCGGCCCCAGCTCAGTAACAACATTCAACGTCTCCTCCTTAGACGCGCCCTCTGAGTCACTGATGGGATGTGACGTAATATCCAAGCTCTCCCTATTGTTCTGACTGTCTTCGACAGATGGTAGAGCTGGAGATTTTGCGGGTCTTCGACGAGGAGGAGCAGCTCTTCTGGGACCAGCCGGAACGGGCATTGAAGCCGGAGTACGCGCAGGAGGGGATGATGCATCGATATCAGGAGGTGTAAGAAGAGGTTCAGAGTTTGTGCCCTCGTCAGATTGCTCTAAACAAATTGTAAGAGACTATAAGTAATTTAGATATACATGGACATACCGACATCCAGAGCCTTTGATCCCGCTCCTTCTCCGAGAGGTGGAGACGTCGGCGCGGAATTGAGCACTTCTTGATATTCGACGTCAAAATTTGTCAAAGAAACCACATATTGCACATACCATCATCACCAGAAGGCGGCGGCGGAGATACTACTTCAACAGGTTTCGCCTCTTCTTCCACAAGTTCCGCTTTGGGCTTTGGTTTGACGGGCACCTTCCCAAAGACAGGCGGACCCATTCCGACGCGGGCGCCACCCAATCGAGCAATCCGAGCTGCAATGGCTGCTCTTCGTTGCCGCTCTTCGTCCTCGGGGTCAGCCTCCGCAGCTTGTTCCTCGGGCTCTGAAACGGCTCCAGCTACAGAGGGCGCGTTGGGCTCATCTTCAATAGAAGACGGCTGAGGGGGAATGGAATCAGGCAATTTCGAAGGAATCTCGGGAGCCTTGCGTGGGACGTCGTCTTTCTCTAGGCGATCATCAGGTGAAGGCGACGCGACAGGAGGGGGAGGCTTCCACTTAGGGCGTTCGATAGCAGGTTTGGGTGCAACCGGTGGCGGAGGTGCACCAAATGCGCCTCGTCCTTGGAGCGCCGCCATACGTTCCCTCAAACTTCCGCCCTTGCCAATGCTCTCCTTCGCATCTGAGGCAGACATCCCTCCTGTCTTGCGCTCCGACATCGATGAGTCACCACCAGGATGCACCGACGGCGGAGATGGTGCTCTCGGCTTCCACGACACTGCGCCAGGCTTTGGTCGAGGTACGGGTGCAGGCCCTGGCGTCGGGACATTCGTGGGCTTCTCGAAAGCTGCAATCCTGTCGCGTAAAGAGCCCGGTTTGGGTTTTGCTGGCGGTGATGGTTGATCAGACATTCTGTCAGGATATCAGAGTCGATGTCGCTTGGTGGTGCAAAGACAAGATTGTTATCGCCGCGAATACACGATGCAAAGGGCAGTCAATATTTTCTCACGGTCATTGAAGGTGTGTACGGTCCGGTGTATAAATGTAAGTGTACAAAAGAGTATATCCTCATCAATGGCCCTCCTGACAACAGTTGCTATATATATATGGACTATTAGTGTCTGAGATTTAGATGCTCCTACTTCTTAGACGAGTCGACCAGCATTTGCATAAATCAATAGCGGTTATTCAGCTAGATATGAAAGTCGCAAAGGAGACTAACAATGATACACTGCTTTAAGATTACTGTCGTCTTCAAAGTGTACCTTATGGTCCATATGAATATGTTATGGCGCCGAATCAGTCTTCTTGAGGAAGATCGATTGCTTTTCGAAGCCAAAATGGTCCTGTTTCAGAGTCAGAACGATACCACGAGATGTTTAGCAGAACCTACCGACTGGATCATTCGGATTATGAAAAGTTGTTGTCCAGGTTCCAAGAACACCATACAGAGCCCGTAATCCCCCCACTTGGATTCCTTCCGAGCTCCATATGGGATTTACTTGTTCTCCAGACCGCTGAGCTGGCGTGTAAATTTGCGCACAAAGCAATGAAGAAAGGGACGCACAAAACGCCACCGGACTTGATTATCGTCCGTCATATGCACGTATCCACTCATCGTGGACATGGAATGCTGTCCCATAGAACCTCCAAAGTATATGCGCGGGTATTTGGGATGTTTAGGATCCGGCGAGACCTCCAAAACGCGGATAGTTACTTCCACGGAACGAAAAACATCATTGAACCCAGGATCTTCGAAAAGGCTGACATCCAGAGAGCCATCCGCCATCTGAGTGGAAGTCAACATAGACTTCGAGCGAATCTGCCCGGTAGGTGACTCACTGTCGACAAATTATATACTATTGAACACGTTGAGCCAATATGATGAGCGAGAATGACCCAAAAAAACGCACATGTAAGATCTGAATGGTCGCAAAAACAAAATCCACACCACCAAATCCCTTCGATACCGGCCCAATCTCTAGTATTCTCCAAGGCCACCGTCTGTATCTGCGTAAATTCTAAACTCATTTGTAAAGGCGTAGCCTCCGCGCCATGTACGTGCATCGCCAGTACATGACGTACCATTCTAAGATGTTCCCAATTTACCTTTCCATCTTCGAAGAACGGTCCAAAGTCCGTCTCCCACGAGTAGTTCCTAAAATCATACACATACGCCCTCGACTTGACCAATGCACGTGGCGTACGATCCGCAGGGGTGATTCCCAGGTAGGTGTGCAACTTGTCGCGTAATTGAATCTCCTCAGGATCAGTGGGCACCCAGTTGAACGTCTCTGGGTCGATAAACGCCCCACCGCCGAGGACATTCCGAATCCAAGCCAAGTTCTTCGACATATCACCATTATATGGCCCTCTCCGCGGCGGTACGTACTCCACCAGATGTATCATAGTCCGCAGAATGGCGCATCGCTCAGCTGGCCGACATACGGTAACGTCCTTGACCACTCTTCGGGCACGAATGAACGCCTGAAGCTCCCCCTTCCAGTCAATATCCTTCCGAGGGTCACCACTGAGGGATACGCATTCCCTGGGATCATCAAGTTGCTGAATGAGATAAAGCCATCGCCATAAATGCTGGTCTGGGCCATGATTGATCAGGATATCGAAAAAGCGGGAGCATTGGGACAGTGAGGCGACGCTAGTGGGATCTGCATGAAGCAGGATCTCTTCTATAGTTTCCGGTGGTAGTTCATCAATGCGCATGGCAATGAAATAGAGGCTAGCGGAGGTATACAAGGCGAAACAGGTATCCGGTCATAGTGGTACAGATCTAAGCTGTATATGCTTACCTCATCTTGTATCTTATCTAACCACCACCACCATTCACCGAGGAGATATTCATATTGGTACATCCATTATGTTATGATTTTACTGAAAAACTCGTAAGGGCTCCTCTTGAGCGTATTTGCGAAGTATGTTACGTGCACGTTTAGCTACGTCATCCATCAGATATTTCTTGACCATGATAGTTAGGACGCAGAATAGCTCTGCCAGACTCGTGAACGACGGATCGACTGTGGGATAGCAGAAGCGGAGAATCTTGTCAAGCATTTCACTGTCCTCGGCCATATTGACGACAGGCCTGTTCGTGGTCATAACGGACTGCGGCAAGGTGAACATATCCTTGAAGAAGGGTGAGGCGAGCGAAAGGATAGGTTTGTGGGTGTGGAAGGCGACTCTGTCTGACGAAACAAGGATGACGTCGGATGCTGTAAAGTGCGCATCATCAGAAGGATGAGAGGCGACCGAATCGTAATGATTGCTTATGTCTGAAGAAAGCATCATACTGTCTGACGCAAAATAGGGGGAAGTTTTTAGGCATGTGTAAACCATTAATGTGATTGCCGACCTTGCAGGTTGTCATTCCATACCTGGAGAGTTCACGACGGTCTCTAAGACTCTGTGATAGTAAGTAGCAAAGGTGTTTGTACCGCAAGGAAGAATCATTGTTCAGGGGTTTCTCGACCTGGTGGCAGAAATTAAATTGGTCTCAAGATGGAAAGGGCACGGTCATATGAATCATATTGAAAAGGGCATCGTCCGGTGGAAAATGCTAGAAAAAACTATAGTTCGAATCTCTGTAGAAAATGGAGTCAGTGAGAGGAAAGAAGCAAACCTCACGGATCCATACCATCTTCAGAGCCTTTTTGATATTGCCCAAGTAAATATAAGGAATACAATTCCGAAACAATCCCTCTAGGTCGAGCTGCGAGCAATGCATACACGAGGAAGCCGTACGCTCGGCAAGCGGCCTAGCCCGTTCGTCGCAGGTAAATAGCGTCTCTAACGAAGGCTCGTGGCTCAACGTTTCCTGAACTGACGTACAGTACCTCACGAACCACGTTTTCGTAGGTGCGCCCTCAGGATCAGGAATCGAGTCATGATCAGGACACACAACCCCGTTGAGCACGCCAAGTATAGCATCATCATCGCATCTACTCGCTGCCTGACCCACGGCGTCAAGTCGCGTCCGGTATGTTTTGAACAAACGATAGAGGACACGAGGTGAGGGGAGAATATCGAGCTCGGGGATATCCTGATCGTCGAGAGCCAACAAGGGCCGGTTGAGTACGCACCCAGCTGCCTCTGCCGCCTCTTCATTCCATTGCATAGCGTATGCGATAGCGAAGACGCGCAGAGGCTCAGAACTCGCATACCTACGCAATTCGCCTCGAGCCCGTCTGGCAACATCACGCATGGAGAACTTATCGACCATAACTGTGATGACCTGATAAAACTCGGAGAGGCTCTCGAACCTGGGGTCGACGGCGGGGTAGCAGAAGCGAAGGATTTTGTCGAGGACTTTGCTGTCTTCGCTCATGAATAGGATGGGAGCCGCATCAACGTACCCTGTGGGTATAGTGAACTTTTCTTTAAAGTATGGGGAGGAGAGGGAGAGGATGACTTTGTGGCAGTAGAAGTGGATTTTGTCCGAGGACAAGAGGACGATGTCGGAGGTGGCATCAGAGCTGTCGAATGGATAGGAAGCTATGGACTCCGGAGGTGGGGATTGGTCGTCATAGTCCATTCCTTGCCGAATACATGAGATAATGCTCTGAGGATAAAATAGAGCTGAAAGGCGCACTGAAAACTTGAAAATATCTGTTGGAAATGGACGATATACACTTAGAAGAACGTTAAGAGAGAAGGGCGTTTATCGGTAACACTGTATCGCTGGGGGGGGGGAGCTGAAGTAACTTGCTTCAATGATCACTTACATAAGTAGATGGTGACGGAGTAAAAGGAAAAGACACGGGTGACGCGTCCTGGGTGGCCCTTTTACGTCACTCCGAGCCATTGTGTGATTTGATTCGGATTTACTCTGGAAGATTGCTTTCGACGACATCTTGGTATACAACATCTGGCACTGTGATGTGACTAGTGACGGGTGATCATCAAGGCGATGTCGGACACAAAGTTGAACGCTTAAATTCTTTTGCGTGGAATTAGAAAATACTCCAAGATATGTGCATGAGTAGGTGTCTTCTTGCATGTCTAGTTGTAAGATTTGTCATAATTTTGCGTAGATAGATATATGATGCCCATTACCAACCTAGACCAGCATTTTCTGCGATGAAACTAATGGATATACATGGTCATACCCCTTCAACCAAGGCGCAAGCCTAGCATGTAAACTAGAATTATCCTCAAGTCACTGCACTGGGTGACTACGCGTCTGTGCCTATAACAGTCATGGTGAAGGTTGTTAGACTTCAAGGACCATGAAATGTCTGCAAGCCTCTGGGACGAGCTCGTAAAATAGGTGTGAGGGCGAGTTGGGGTTATGTTCAATTTCTGGAGTTTGGTTATGCAAGAGTTTTTTCATTGCATTGCCATGGAGATGCGCATTTCAGGACCAAGTATCATCGACATCTATTATGCCCATAATGGGGGCTTTTCCGACAAGTGTAAATTATCTTTGCAGTTATGCAGTTCTTATAATTGAAATTTCTGTTACATCGATATGCTAAGAATCCACCGACCTTTTGTCAAGAAACAAAGGATATACCATCAATAGTGCATTCTTGATATTCACATGAACTGTCAAAGGAATAAGATGCTGAAAAAAGTTTGCAAGTCACCTTCCGCACAATCATGGCACCTCGATGCGGTTTGTAGAGCGCTCGGACGAGCAAAATCGTCGCAGGTATGGAGAGCTTCCAATGAGGGATGGAGATACAGCTCTTCCCCGAGCTTGGTACAGCAATCAATGAACCGATTTTTGGTTGACATAGTCCGATTTTCCGGATGAATGGGGAAGATGTCATGGACTTTACACGGGGCATTCTCGATGTAGTTGTAAATATCAAAATTGTGAACCCAGGAAGGACTGTCTACCTCATCAATAGTGATAACAAGATCAAATGATGATAGGTTGAGGTCCTGAAGGAAAGCAACTGCAGATTTCGCCTTCTCAACATGATCAAAGGACCAGGTAAATGTCTTCATCTCTAGAGTCTTCATTGTGGCTGCAGGTGATGAGACATCATTGGGAGATGAAGACCAAGAATGGACTCCAAGGAGAGTTATCTGTGTGATCTGGTATGACTTTCGGGTGCTTGGATAGTGGAGATATCTGGTGATGACGATACATCTGTCAAAGGTGGTGATATTGGAAAGATGAATTCGGAATTGGCTGTATATAGCTCCTGCAGAGTAAATGGGTATTCTGAGAGTAAAAGACCAGGAAAATGATTTTCTTGGTACGATAAGGGAGCAAACCGCTCCAGCAGCGCTATTTCAGTGAGAGGTGACATTGTATTTGATGGACCTGTCATATTGTCATTAAAAAGAACTTGAGCATCATAGAAGTGAATAAGACTGAAAATACCTTACGGATGTATTATTACAATAGCTCATCACCTTGAAAGATGGCTGAGAGGGTATACATTGAGTATTATTTGCGGAAAAGATTGATTGATGGGAGAACAAGTCGGGGTTGGATTGCGAAAGGAATTCGTGTTCTGAGTGAAGTTTTCTAGTCTAAATAATTTCGTACCCTTTATGAGGTTCCATGGTGAGATACGGAGTGCTCGACAGACGGACGAGAGAGATAGACACGACGCGACGTGAAAGAAATGTAAATGATCGTGGCCACACAACTAAAACCCAAATCCGGAAACGCCTCAATTTGGACACCAACGCCCATAAATGTCTGGGGTGAATTTTACAGGTCCCTCTGCTCGTAAGAAGAGGGACCAATTCAGGTCTAGGTTGCCTCCGAGTTTATGTGTGCAGGGTTGCATATGCGGACGACCTGAATACGGCCCGTTAGCCGATGTCTCTGATAGTATATCCACCATCTCGCTAGCCCACCTTTGGTTTACAGTCCACTGTCTCAGTCTTCTCATCTCATCCACAAAAACGCCAAAACCAAAACCAGACAATCCACGAGGGACGTAAAAATAGAGCCTTGAGTTTCGTGGTACAGTGCCGTCTGTTCGAACACGCAACCTTGAACGATATCGCACAGCCGGGAAGCTTTTGGATGGTGCTGAGGTGCGACAGCGTCACGCATCGACTTTATTGATCCATGCTCTTGTCCTGATAACCGTTGATACCATAGGTCCTTATTAATTTCATTACGCGTCCAGTACAGATGGAGGCCCTTGTCCATTGCCTCGTTGCCCACTGTAAGCCGATCTTATTCCGGATCTAGATGTTAAGAGACTTCGCGTCCTGGAACTTTGGAAGTCTCCTTTTTTGACCCTGTTCGGAGCTGCATGGTTCATATCCGTGGGAGAACGATACAAAGAATCAGGAGAGGACATCAGGGATCGCTTCGAAGGGCGTCAGCTGTCCGAAGAGAGAAGAGTAGAAGGAGACATGTCCGGAAATTTGACCGTCTGAGTTTGCAGGTAACGTAACATTTTCTCTTCTTTCTCTCCGTCTCACTGATATGACCTGTAGATGCGGAGACTGCCGTCTTGGCTGCCCGCTCTTCGACTCTGCTGTTTCCTCTGATAAGGAACAGTACGCATCGAGACTTGGCATGCGTTGTAGGTATACAGCGGCCTAGACCGAATCTCGGCAGAAGGCGGAGAAATGAGAACAGAAAACTGTTAAAAAGGGGGTGGCAGCGGGGGATTCGAATCCTTCTGTTTCCTACGTATACCTCTCTTATTGCTTTCCAGTTTTCAGAGACCGTGCAGCTAGTCGCCTTGAATTGGAAAGTCACGATCGCAAGGCCGGTTCTATTGTCCGTCATTTTTTCTTTTCCTGCACATTTCTAACATCTGACTCGCTTTAAGTTTCAAACATGGAAAAGCACTGCACTAAATTCAGGACACTCCCGCCAGAGCTCATAGACGCTATTATCGACGAGAACCAAAACGATAAGGCTGCCCTACGCGCATGTGCCCTCGTCAGCCGTTCCTGGACATATACCTCACAACGCCACATATACTCTCAGATCTGTTTTACTAATAATAAACGACACTACTACTACGCGCAAGGACACAGCCAGCGTGATATGGAACAATTTCATGCGCTTATATGTGCCTGTCCTCACGTTGCTACGCCCGTGAGAGGTATCGAGATCTCGCCACTTCTCGATGCGCAGCTCCTCGCGCTCATCATGGAAAAACTGATCAATCTCGAAAACATGTCACTTGATTTCTGTGAATATTACTGGGACGACGTTTCATCATGCATTCAGGACACTATCCTTGCTGCCCTTCGCTCTCCGCGAATGACCCATCTCGAGCTCAGAGGAGGATCGTTTCTTCACTCTGTGGACTTCTTAACCCTTTTGGGTGTCTGCGGTGGTCATCTCAAGCATTTATCCCTCTTCGCCGTGTCGTGGAAAGATGTGGAATCACCGTCGAGGACTGCGTTCTCAACGGGACTGAAATTACAGCTGGATTCGCTAGCACTCAGATTGTATGACCATTCGTACTTTCTGCTGGTCCAGCTTTTGCAATCTTCGGTCGATATTAGCCGTCTCCGACGACTATCAGTGTTCGCAGCTGGCTCTGCAGATCCTACGAAGCGCGTGCTTATCACGAAGGAAGTACTCAAGCAGCTGAATGACACTCCTTTGAAACACCTCGTGTTGGATGTGTATTTAGGAGGTAAACCCCGGTTGTGTTTAAGCTACAACTGCATCTGATGACATCTGTAGAACCATTATCGAACCTGATGGATATTTCTCAACTTCGTTCGATACAGATGAAGCTCTGGTGGATTTACCTGGAACAGCATCCGAGGCCTGTCGATTGGTTACGATGGTTGACCATCTCATTCAGTGAGCTTGCTAAACACGAGGTATTGGAAGAGGTCACCTTCGAGATCTTTTACGCGGGTGTTATCACAGCGTACGCTGATGAGTGGGCTATCCTGGATGCAACGCTGAAGGGGATACGATCGTTGAGAAAGATCATTGTGAAGCTGGATAACTATGATTGTGGGAGGGCACGATGGAGACATTTGAGAGAGTATTCGAGTTCTGTGGAAGATGACGTGAGGAACATTCTGCCGACGTTAGCGAGGGAAGGAGTTCTTTTTGTGGAGGTGAGGCCGTTGTCACCGGCGCTCTTGTCATGAGGGGCTTGCTCACATGCAATTCTAGATTGCCGCTAGTTATCCTGGCTAGTGGGTACACCCATGACATTCTACAGCAAGGATGCTTCAGCGTAGCGATGACACGATTCTAGTACACGATCTTGTCATCAGTAACCTCTCAGAGTATGCACGCATTTACTCTTTTTGTCTGCTACTGTCAATGTATAGAATCTACTGGAGATAAGAAGTCTGAAGAACTCACATGCACATTCCGAAACGGATCTGCCCGGCTTCTGTATTGGCCCGCTTCAGACTGTCCACCACTTCCTCACTGGGCGCTTCTCAACTTGTTGGTTGCGTTATCTCTTAGGCTATTATATGAAAGTAGAAACAATGGGATGTCACCTGAGGCCTGATCAGCAATCTTGACCACACCCTCTGTCTGCGTACAAGGGCTCATTCAGAATCGTAGTGAGTTGCACAAAAAAGGCTAATCGATAGTTCCTTTGCCCAGGCTGAGGAAATGAGAAGAACGTCGGTGTGGTAATGACAAATCAGAATTTTATTACCAAAGTAGGTCACCGTGCTTAACGGCAGTGGGTCAGTGTCAAACGTGAATGACATCGTTTCGCAGACTTATTGACTGAGCTATATATTAGTAGCATCAAGAACTATCATACCCAATTCATCGTCAGCATCAATCTTGTCGCTCACAACTTCTATCTGTTTGGCAGTTCCAGTAAGACAGTAGTCTTCGACGGGTGGCATCGAGACCGCGATCCTTTGCCGCTATCGTGCATGTCCAAGATGATATCGAGCAATTCTGATGATGGCTAACTTCGATGCATACTCTATGACGAGGATAGTCGATAAGCAGCGAAGGAAGAGCTTGCTTGGGGACTACAAACGGATGATGATAGCAGAATATTCAATATACCAGTCATCGTCTCCAGCTCTTACAGTATCCAAGTAGCTTCAGAGATCCTTGAAAATCTACCAATCAGACCAGTCTCGAGTCGGTCAACTCCTTATTCCATAGTATTTCCTTCATTTAACTCGCTTTTGTTTTCCAGCAGTGTGACCATATGAAGCATTTATCGCTCTCCGCGATACCCTGCGAAGACTTGCGTCTTGCGAGAATTTGGAAGGGCCGGCCTGGCTTCCGAATAGGCTAAAGATACAGCTGCGTTCTCTGGCGCTCAGTCTGTGTGAACCGCAGTCACAGTCAGCACTGGTGCAGCTAGTAAAGCCCTCGATCAATGTTAGCAGTCTTCATCGGTTGTTCGTGCTCACTGACGGTTTTGGAAACCTTGCAAAGCGCATATCGGTTACGAAGGGGATCTTACTGCGGCTAAATGATAGCCTTCGGAGCATCTTGCTTTGAACGCTTGTCTCAGAGGTGAGTCTGTGGCTCCGCACCGTCACCGTATTGTACGGTTTTCGGTGACCGTTATACGGAAGACGGACCGAAGCCGAACACACTCGAATGACCATTTGTATGGTACTACACCGTGTACGGTACGGTGCGCAGCCCTAGTCTGTGGTCGGTTTTCTATTTGAGAGTGAGCTCCAATATATGATGTTGGAGGCCTTGCAGAAGCTATTTTGTGCCTCTGGTGAAGCATACCTCGACAAGGTAGACCATAGAGGTAAAGAATGCCGCCTCGAGGTCTCAATCAATCTCGGGAGGAGGTAATTGGCGTAGTTTCGCCGTGATACGAGATAGGAGATGGCAGATCCACTGAATAAGGTACAGAAAACCGATTCTCTCTGATTTTGCAGTGACAAACCAGAAGAAATGGATGGTATAGGCAAAGTTGCGCAATGATGATGGTGTAATGGATAGTTCTTGTATTTGATGCACGACTCCTTGGAGCGAGGCGACGATTCTTTGTGAGGGCATTTCGTGTAGAATAACGGCCATTGCTGGATGGATGCCAACCCCCGTCGGTTTCCAAAAGCATGTCAGGATTGTCGTTGCGATTGGCTGCAAGGACGAGCTTTGGGACATCGCCATAAGGCATACGGTGGAATGGGTGAAGGAACGTATGAAGTCTTCGGTCTCGAGGATACAAGTTAAGATCGGGGACGCGTTCGAGAGCACTAACAATAAGGATAATATAGCATCGGTCGTATCGAAAAAGGTTTGATTCTGGAGGAACGTCTCCAGGCAAAGAGTAGATACGTCCACGACGTGAAAATCAAGGAAGGAGGTGATCCAGCGACATGTCTGGCCATAATCGGGAGACAAGGGCGATGTTGCATGCATTCTCGAGCACAGCATCAGATAGCGCCGCTTGTAGACAGAGAAAACAGGAACGGATGTTGTGCACATTAGAATCATCACATCTCGTAAGAGATGAATTCAGAGTCAGTCTGGGAACGGGAGTAGTGAGAAGGTGCTGGCAGATGGCACTTATTATTATGACGGGAAACGTGGTTGCATCTTTGGTAGCGTTTCCGCACAGCGCAACGAGGGCTGAGAGGGATCCGTTGGTAGCTTCTTTCTGTCCTCGTCCTTTCAGATGGGCCGAGATGAGAAAAATGTAACTTGTGCACCTTGTATTGACTCATCATTCTGGCAACGAGACGCCTTCTTCAATCATCCAGCGTAGAGAGAAGAAGAAAATTGAAAGAGGCATTAACGGTGTTGCTAGGCTCTCGGTGACCGGGCCGCATAGCCGGCAGCGACATGATACAAGAAAGCCAGAAATTAATCCATACGCAACGCACCCTGATATGAGTCACTCTCAGCTCCATGGATGATGCCACACTGCCCAGAGCTAGCACAGAGGACTAGTTCCCAGTGCCCAGTACAGTGGATAAGATTCATACCACAGATTTTACAAACTCCCTAGCCGACAGACTCTTCCGGTAAATCCACAGATTGAACCACGACGTCAATCATCCCCTTCTCCTGCAGTCGGGGACAATTGTCCAATATCATCTGCTTCCGATAGTTAACGCTTCTCAACTGCATTGGCGAAAACACTTTGATAACGACGTGGAAGGACTTGAATGCAGAAAATTGTTTTTTTGTAAGGCAACGATCAAATTCCTGCCACGACGCCCCTCCATTTTGCTGGATATAACTTATCGAGCGGCTTATTCCCACAATGATTGTGAGGTTCTCGAGACGGTGTGCTTCATTCGCGTTAGCCATATCCTGCAACATGGACAGCCACCATCTTATCACGATATCTGTGTCTGGAAGTCCTGTGAACCTTTCCTTCCCATGTATGTCGACAGTAAGGTTCCTTAAATGCGAGAGCATCAAAGGTTCACGCTTGGACTTCCAACGCACGTGAATGCTGTGCTTATCTGGATACATTCAGACAAGGAGTAACAGGTGGACATAGCTGATACGTACGGCCTAAGATATGCAAATGGCCCATAGAAAACTCTTCCAGGGTGTTTTTTGTTTTCCGAAGGAACTGAGCAACCTTGGCAAGATCGTCAAGTCCGACGCCCACGATAGTGACTTTTTGCAGCTTATCAATGGGACCGAACCTTGATCCGTCTAAAGCTGCTTGCCACAGGTCTCCACTATCAACCATGACCTGACGAAGCGATGGTCCAATGGACCGAACCTCAACTATTTCATGTGCCCGAGGCCTTTTCTTGAAATGTAGATCTATGCAGGATAGCTCCTCCAGCATCGGAAAAAGGCGTAGAAAACTATAAAAATGCTGTTGGGTACGAAATATCGATGAAGTAAAGGAGGCGCTTTTGATTGAGCTCCGGGATAATATGTCTGTTAACCGTCGGTCGTCAAAATACGCCATCGTGTATTTTTCGAACTGAATGTGTTCGAGATGGCGAAAACGAGGCATGTTTTCTATGACGGACATGCCGAAATTGAATGGGCCAATATGGAGAGCGGTAGCATTATCGGGGGCTTCAGGAGTAGGTCTCCACAAGACAGGGACATTGCGTGAACGGGTGATGCGGCAGGAACTGAAATATCGCCTGGGTAATAGTAGGTGCCGTGGAACAACGCAAGAGCCTGGCATCTATATCCTGACGTTGGTTAGAATGATAGGATGAGGCTTCGATAGGATTCGGACGCGATGGGGAAAGGAGAAAAAAGGTTTTTTTTTTGATCAATGACGATGATATTCGGGAAATCGGACCGGAGATGCCGGCTCCTGACAAGTGCAAGCTGCTCATCACAAGCTAAAAAAAAATGGAACAAAGCCATACTATCGTGCCAAATCATTTTCTAGATAGAGTTGGTTTTTCGCTGGACAGTTCTGTAATGTAAAATAGTACTGAGTGAACTAATTGAACGAAGAAAGACGACTCGAGTCAACTCCAGTGGTAATATTATATATACGCGATGTCACCATCTGAGTATCCCTCCCCATCAATAGGAATCACTGCCAACTCGAGGAACCATCCATCGACCAATACTTTCAAAGAGATAGAATCCACGTTATTATTGGTCCTCTCGTCTCACGATCTCCGTGAACCCAAAGTACGGCTGATACGACATCAGATGTGTCTCCGTTGCATTTCGCCGACATGACGAGCGCCCTTGGATGACAAGGTTGCAACGGGCCAACTTCGCCTGCGAGCATTTGATAGGCTCGTGAGAACTGAGATGAGCGGCGACAAGCAGAGCCGAAGCCAGAAGAACAGCGACAGAGAGAATTTTCATGTTGATGGTTGGAGTACGCAATGCGATGAAGAGTCTCTTAAAGGGCTTGGGCATATTTTAGACGGACGGTTTGATCTTTTGAAGAAGGATTGAGAAACACGCGTTCGTCATGAAGCCTCCGACGGAGGGTAAGGGTATACGCGGGAATTCTCTATCAGAATCTATTGAAAAAATACCGCGTGGAGACCAAGATGTGTGTGACACGTTTTTACCCCATAAAAATGGCGGATGAATACGTGAACACAAAAGCGTGCTTTTCGTCAGTGTTATCTTCGTCGTCGTCGCAAAACATTCGGTTGAATGTGCGGGGGCGGGGCGCAGCGCGAATAACTGTCCACCTTTATCCGTACAACGATGATGATATAGACTCCGATTTTGCTAAATTCTTGAGTGCGAATCGATATATGAGCCATGCTATTCCTTCGGCCAATGACTGACGAAAGCAGCGCAAAGAAGAGCGCGTTACAATTGAGAACACGAAAGTTGGAAGATAGCGCAAGGAAATGCTAGTAGCATGGCGGATCTGTGCCAAGAGCTGAGGCTTAACACAACGGACATAGACCGAGCCTACAGACCTGCGTACTCAAGACTTGGGGACCTCACAGTAAGTTCACCCCGCCGCCATATTTGTGACATTCAGATTCGCTGGTCCGTGACAGACGTAGTCGATAAACGGATATCTATCAGTCTTGGTTTGTTTCATGGCCGACCGTCAGCTCTGCATAAGACTTTGGAGGGAGAAAATCGGAAGTTGACACGCAGGGCGCCTTGACCCAAGACTACAGTCATGTGCATTGGGTCGCCTTCTGCGGACCGTGTTAGATGCAAAGGATCATTGTGTAAAGGAAGCTTTACCATGATTTTTTCCAGCTCCTCGGCGCGTTGCTTTGTGTTCGGGCCACACCTGTTTCTGACAATAGCGAGAGCAATAATAGTGGTACAGGCACCGCTTGACAGGTTTCGATGCGATGCATTTATGAGGACACTGGAGAGGGAAAAATCAGCCATATCACCCCTTGGAACTGGAGTCGTACTTCGGGATTAAGGCAGCAATCTTTACTGGATTCGTTCGTGATAAAACTGGTCCTGAACTACAAGCGAGCATGGACTTGATCCCTAAGCATGTTCCAGGCTTCATAGAATAGATTGTCGGCTTGCGTGAAAATCTCCTCCAGCCCAGATCTCCCGACACGTCTTATTGCCTTGTTAGCCGCAACAATGATGGAGAGTCGTATGAGGAAGGTGTAGATCACGTCGCAAAGCTGTACGAGACGATTATAAAAGTCGGGACGGGATGGCGATACATGGTCCGTGGGTTCGAAGGCAAGGGAAGGGCCTTGAGAATTAACTCAAGCAAATGTCGTTCCAAAGCTTGCAATGCCCATTCCAACCCATTCGAACATACATCAAGAAGGTAGATGGCTGTGTGGTATTTCGCGAGGGATGTTCCAAATTGCTTTGCATATGGTGAGAAACGTGGTCGAATCGTTAACTGCTTGTCTAGGCAGAGATTCAGAAGCGCCCTCGGACATCCTTCGAGAGCTTTCTGTTGCTATTTCAGTTGTATATGTCATGAGAGTGCAAAATCCTTTCTCGCCTTGCCCAAGGGAGGCAGTCCTGCCGTGCTAGCAGTCCAAGGGAGAAGTGAAGTGTTTGCCTTTGTATCCTATGGCAACCATGACTTCGTACGTGCAAAGGGATATAATATCGGACCGCCCTAACGGATGATGGAAGAAACGCGCGAGCTCTGTGGCGCTACGTCGCCCTATTGGCAACAGCGTCCAAGACCCTGCTTTGACTACCATGCATCTCATTGGCTTCATCACCTACACCGACAGATACCTCGATGACCGAACCTGTGACAGATCCTTATATGGGGCAAGGTGCTCAGTATGGAGGATGGGAGCCAGGCCATACGCCGTGACAAGCGTGACGGCATTATAATTCTATGGGGGTACTGGCCGCAGTTTTGGCTGTCTACCGAGTTTCAGCGGGTGTTGGCAGGACTCAAAATGGATTCGTGCTGCCAGAAAACTTGACTGAGATACCTGTTGCCATGTTTGGACGAGACAAAACAAGCTGTATTATTTTGCATCCGAGCCAGGGCCTTTTCCGGAATGTTGGCGTTATCAACTGCTGGGGGATAGGCTTCAGATTCGGAGAATCTGGCATCAACGTTAATCGACGCAAAAGCCGACCTGTGATGACGGGGAACGGCGTATCTTCTGTATCATGTACAACGACTGACTGAATTCCCGGTGCCAACTCCAGTAACAGCGCGAGATGAAACCTTGCCATGAAGACATCTCGGACTACGAGCATCTTCAAAGTAGATGAGGATCGTCTGACAAGCCCGATGAGGGAATCGATTGTACTCGCTATCTCGCATTGTCCTTCCTCGGCATTGTATATCTCTAGTCGAACAAGACACGGCACCTTCAACAGCTTGATGAGATGCATTCTGGCTATATTCGCTCCGAGAGCCAGAGAAAGGAACGCTAGCCTTTCGCAATACACCGGAGGGGTCTCCCCTGATTTACACTGCACCCACCACGTCTGATTCGTGATCTCCGTCGTAAGATGCTCCAGCTCAGTTAAATGGTTCAAGAACTCGGGAATAAACCATAGGCGACCGATTAATTCTTTCAGAATGAGGTGCCGTATGTGAATTCTGGTATCCATTTCACACTCTAACAAGTCCAGCAGGAAGGGTGTGGATGCGCGCCCAAATGTGATCGTACGGAGACGCGGAGCCCCGAAAATTGTTTCTAGCTCCTGGTACCATTCTACGGTGGCTGCATGCTGTCCCGTGGAATGGAATTTGATACTTTATAGCAAGGCGTAACGAGAGCCCTGTACAGAGTCGTGCGCTGAAAAGATACTTGTCGGGGTAGTTGTAGCCTGAGGTGTTTCACGCGCTCCCCTTCCTTTGAAAAAGGTTGACGAAGAATATACTTGTGTCGCCGGTGTAGTCTATGGTGGGGGGTAAACCCTTCGAGCGATGGACGTATAGAGCGGAGGTCTGTTTGATGCGGATGCGGTCGTGCAAGCTCTGATCATTGCAAAAATGAGAGTCAGGATCGCTGTCGGGACCCGGCGAATGGAGGGATAGCAGAGTCTCGTGGTATGAATGAAATCTTCTAGCTTGGCGCGCTCGGTGTCGGGCTGTGAGAGAGTGGCACGGAGGTGGGCGATGTGGGTATCATGCTGTAGTAGCTCGGTGCGCGCTTCTGTCATCGTCTGGCGGATACTCTCCACACGGCCAATAACGTTTCTTCTGGCGTGGTCCCTCAGCCAGTGGCGGACCGTTCGGGTGTGAGGCGTGTGATATTCGTGGTCGCATCGTGGGCAGCGGAGAGCCGTCTGTCCTGTTTACAACGTTAATCTATGAGCATTCCCCTTGATCAGTTCCACTGCTCACCAGGAGACAATACTGGGCAAGAAAAAAACTGGCACAGTGTGTAGCAGTCGTTGGAGGCCACGAACTCAAGTCGATTGTCAATATCTAAAGTTCACATTCGGTGTGGAATTAAAGGGTGGCAACCGGCGGTGCGGTGGCAGTGGCAGTCCAATCATTGTTTGAGCACAAAAGTAGTTGCCGTTTGTATTGTGGCCAAAGCGCTGCCGCTCCGTTCAATGCGAGGTGTCGAGTTTAAATTCATCATTTCGAAGGCTTTCTCTTTATTCAGTTATTGCTGGTGACTTATCATACACGGTCTCGCAATCGGGTCCGACTGATGTCTCTATCCCTTGTATTGATCGATGGAGGAAAGTTCGCTGTCTCTCAGTACCCTGTCATTGAAAATGTAGATGTCTATTTGCAATTGGACCAAATAACTCTGAGTGCGCCGCTCAAATCGAATCCCATTCTATCCTTCATCATTCGGGAAGTGCATCTATTTGATCCTTGGCCTTTTCGAAGGAGTAGGTCCTGGCAGACGCGCCACCGCCTCATCATTGAACTCGTCCTCCTCGTTCATCATGCTTCTATCACCGTCATTATCCTCCTCTTTAACCATATGTTCGCCTCCCAGCATATCCATTATCCCGCCGAAGCACCTCCTGGTCTTGCCCCCGGCGAATCTCCTCTCCGCCATGCCGTCCAGAGCCTTCAGATGAATCTTGACCGTGGCAATTAAACGCATCGACGACTCAGAACGTGGCTCATATTCGATGGCCTTCGCAAGCTGGTCTTGATGGCCGGTTATGATGAAGTACTCCGCCATGTCCTTCTGCTGACCGGCGACACGCTCGGATTTGAGTTGCTCGAGTTGACGGCATTGTACTATAGATTAATATGTAAGTGAGCAACGGATCTTTGTGAACCCTAGCTGGTAGTATGTCCTACCTTTGTTTCTTCGCTTATACTCGTTCGCAAGAGACAGGGATTCTCCGCTAGCAACATTTTCCTCTCGTAATCTTCGTATTTCATCTGTAAGAAGGTGATTCAAAGAACGCAACTGAGTAAAGAATGTCGGACGTACTTCGAAGTTTTTTCTGATCGTCATCCTTCTTTGTCAATTGTTGTCGCGCAACTGCAAGAATCGAATATGGACCAGAAGCGAAGCTGGATGGGATGAGGATTACCTTCAAGCTGCTTCTGGATCGTCTCTATTTGCTCTTTGGATGCTTCCAATTCCGCTTTCAACGCTATACACAAGAGACCGGTTACCTTCCTCCCCCAATTTACGAGCATCACTATACCTTTTTCAAGCCCTTCTTTCAGAATTGTTGCCTCGCGCGTCCGCATGTCGGCAGCTGGGATAAATATGAAGGTCAACACATACAACTTGAACGCATCATTCTATGTTCGAAAACACCATACCCTTATGTTCGGCCTCTGTTCTTTCCAGTGCCTCGCGCAAACCTTTGGAAGTTTGTGTGTAAAATCAACACCTGTAAGTTGACACACCTACCTTGAATCATCGTCTCGGTATCGGCCTTTACTTTCTCCAGATTTTGGTTTGAATCTGATAAAGTTACTATTACTCTGCAAAAATAAGAAATACTTGAAACGTTACCATTCAAAACAGCTTCAGCAGAGTTTGCCTCTACAAAGACTTGAGTTTATGTTTATGTCGCTGCATGCATTATGCATCAACTCACCCTCGAGTTTGGCCTTCAATGCACCATTTTCCTCCAGAAGGTCAGTTATTTTCTGGGCCAACACCTGCACTTGGCTTGGGTCGAAAAAGCTCGACTGAAGATTGGGATCCAATGTTGGCTCCGTTGAAGATACTGAGTATCCAACATAAAATGCATGAGGATTGAAATTCGGGGGTAGCTGTGCTGCTTCGGATGCAGAATCAGGAGCTGGATTTGTGGGAGGCGTCTTTTGTTTGAACGAAACCGTACTCTTATTGGGGGACGGCTCTGGTGCCGACGAGGTCCTTGCAGCAACTAATGCTGGATTCAAATCCGAAAGTGAAAGAGGCGGCAATCGAGATAGGATCTCATCGAATGCCGATCGCTGGAGAGAAGGGAACCGCCCGACGATCCTTTTGAACAGTTCATCGTCATATTTACTGCAAGCCTTGTCCGAATTTCGGCAGGCCGGAGTATTGCAATGAACACGGCTTTCTAGGGGTGCACAAGGGAGGTTATGTTCTTTGCATATTTTGCAGGTCTGTATGATAATAGGTCGTAAACCCAGGTCAGTAGCGTTCAACATCAAATTGTGTAACCATACAGTATCCGGGTGAGATTTCGCCCATTTTTGAGCCTCGACTCGAGGCAGGGGTTTGCTTCTCTCTTCGATGACAGCTTTTTCAATTTCGTCCTTGGATTCTTGACTATGTTCCATAAGTGAATGATTCAAGTATGGGCAAAGGGAGAAAAGAAGATGTCGCCTGCCGCCATCATCGCGTGGCCAAAAATAGGTCACTTTTACGAATATCACGTCGAACACCAGATAATGGCTCGTATTATTAGGTCTACATGACTGACACATACTAGACAGGTATATTTATGAGACTAAGGTTGACCTAGCAGTTATCGTTACATCGTTAACGTCTTACGTTGTGCTCTTTAATCGAATTCAGCTCAGAGGAATGTGATCTCCCCTTCATATATCTTGTCTATCCCCTTAAATTATTCAAACGACGACGCCAATGAATCAAGACTGAAATTGGAAACAAAGACCTCAACTACTTCCTCAGCAATTACGCTTCACACAAATTGCTTTTCCATCAAATCGCATTTCATGCTTGGCTACAAGATACAACGATGTCAAAACAGAAGGACGACGTCATCCCCCTTCTTCTGAGCCGAGAAGGGAAGACGACTTCGCCCGGGATGAACGAAGATGGCCTGGGATATTTGATTTATATATCACTGCCGGTGCATTACACGACAGGGCGTCCCCCGGTGATATAGCGAACCAGCTTCCAAAGTGCCATGACTATTAAAAGTCAGGCACAATGTCGAATATGCTATACGGGCCTATAGCAATTATTGATTAGCATACATTATAACTCTGGAGGACCTTACTCACATACTACCGCCGAACCGGGATGACCACGATTCAGATTCTTACTCCCTTGCGGGCGCGTCGTAAGATGGTATTCGGGAGGCGTCCATCTACAATAGAAGAATGGTCATCAGCCAATACAAAAGGAAGATTGGGTAAAATGCTCACCAAATCGCCGTGTTCAATCAAAGCTTTACTTTCACTTCAAAGGGGCCTATGCTCGATGATGGGAGAGAGGTCTACAACAAGCAAAACGGATTAGCCTTACCGTTCGAGGCCAGCATCCAGGTCGCAGGATGCACGAACAAGTCGCCACAATGCTATATGGTCGACCAAAGTCAGTGAGCAGTCGGTGCTCGGTGTCGATGTCGGGTCGGACGGGACGTAGTCGAGGACGGTCAGATAGTACTCTATTCCATGAGTAGGTCAAATACAGCGAGCGCTAAATAAGATAGGATCAGTAAGGGCAGGATGGGATGAGTAGCAACGACCCACCTTTCCGCTGGGGTTGCCACCGTGGCTTCCAAAGAGCAACGCAAGCGGTACCGGGGATTTATATACACTGACAAGACATATTCCCACGCACGGACCTTTACGGACCGATGCTTGGTCATTCCATTTGATTGCCATAGACACCGAAAAGACGCAAACAATCTGAGTCTCATTCATTGCTATTGATATATACCCAGTAATTATAGTAGTAATACAAATCAGCTTGCTAATAGGAAACCGTGCACGTAGAGACAGGGAAATAGAGGGACGGATCCATTTGGTGGATCAAGGAAATCCCGCAGCAGCTGCCAGCAGGCTGAAACAAGCGAAGACAGGCGTATTGAAAATCTGGGAAAGCAATGGCTAAACACAGGGCAGTGAAATAGAAGGTCGGGATGCGCGGCGCAGAGGGAATATATACGATATCGGCTGGAATAAATCAATGAGAAGATCGGTTGCTGGACGTTGACGAGTCTTGTCAAAAGGTGCTCGCCCATCCTTCCAAATCGACTTTGGAAGCTCTTGCTTGCTTGATCCACTCATGCGTCTAGAATAAGGAATCAGTATCAACATAAAGGGAAACATGAAGGACGGCATCTTACGAGTAAATCTTTCGGAGTCTTCCTCATGTCCGGGTCCTTCAGTAAACAGTTGTCCACGAATCTTTCGGCTTCTGGGGGGTATCTCCCTTCTGGCGTCAATCTTGGCGCTGGTTCGTTGACGATATGTTGCAGCAACTCTAAAATGCTCATCGTCATACCTCCTCCCTGTAGACTGACTCCCTTGCTCTTCCTTTTATCCTTCTTCGCCTTGTCCTTCCGCGACTTGGGGAGGGACAATGCAGCAATTGACCCCATTGAGCCAGGTCGGGCCGGCGACAGTGTGCTCTCGAAATCGGACAGGTCCGAATCGTCTGATTCTGATTCGGAAAATGGAAAGCGCCCTAAGGCCAACTCGATGAGAGAGATACCCAGGGACCACACGTCAGATTTGACTGTATATTGCGCTCCTTGGATACGTTCGGGCTGGAATGCAGGTCAGGGAAGGTTAAGCAAAAGCGCGAAAAGAAACTCACGCTCATATATGTGGACGTTCCGACGAATGTATCCGCGATCGAATTGATAAGTTCCCCAGAAACACCAAAGTCGCATATCTTGATGTCACCTCGAGAATTACAGAGGATATTGGACGGTTTGATATCTAGCAAATCATCAGTGATAGTCAACGAAAGATAAAGAAAGCATACCCCGATGTATGATTCGGTGAACATCGTATAGATACGTAAGACCTTCAAGAACAGCCAACGCGACTTTGCCCACAATGTCGATATCAATGGCGCCAATCTTCTTGTAGATCCCGTCGAGCGAACCCTTGTCCATAAATTCCATGCAAATACAGATATTTGGGTCCGCAAGAAAAGCACCATAGAAAGATATGATGAACTTCGAATTGCAGTTGTGCATGATCTGCAGTTCCCGGAGGATCTGTTTTCGCACAGACGGCTTGGCGTCAATCAAGACAATCTACGAATAGTGAGAAATAAGACACCTATAACACGAAGCATACGGACCTTCTTCGCCATGATAGTACTGGTAGGGACATGTTCGACCTTCTTCACGCTCCCGCCGTTACCCTGACCAAGCTCTTGGAGATCCTTCAGATCTTCGTTCCGCAAATCAAATTTTATTTCAGCGTTCATATCCAGGTTCGCCAGGGTATTCGACAGGGTGGCATAAGTTGAACGTCGTGTCGAAGCCATCGGCGAAGCTGTATTCGGAGCGGAACTGGAACTGTTGGATACGGTCAAGAGAGTGCTGTCACCATCAATAGGCGTAGCCGTCGTCATTGGTATCTTGGGGGCTTTCAAAGTCATTGGCGGTGGTCGCCGTTTGCCCCCACCAGCGATTGGAGCTTGTCGCGTAGGCATAGGATTGAGAACAGGCTCTGGTTCCGTTGTCGCCGGCGACACTGGTGGGCTCGGCGTCGCCAATTGGAGCGACTTGAAGTTGCGTTTCTTCCGAATGGGGGTCGTCATCGTGGACAAAGAAGAAAAAAAGAAAGGAGAGTTTTTCCAGTTGGAAGATAAGTTGATGACGGCAAGAGGACAGCACAACGCGTGACACTGACTGTCACCGAACTTGTCTCTTGAACACCACCTGCAATCAATCCTGCTGATCAGAATGGTGATGATTATTTGCGAAGCTTGACGTCCATGGAGTGGATTTCATTTTGTTGCCGGCCCAGCGTAACGACCACGGAACGTCTTTCTTATTTCTGAGGGTCCTCTTCACGTACGCTATGACGGCATCATTCTAGGAGGCGACAACGGCACGTCGAAGATATAATTCACTGGCCGCTCTTCAGCAGTATCAGGATTCTGGATTCCAACCATCAGCACCTGGGATTTTTAGAATATGCAATTTCAGGTGTGTCCTTTGCTTTGATAGCACGTCGGATGTATTGGCAATACTGAACAGCGAGTTAGGTCATCGAAGGCCTTCTGGTCTTTGTGTAGCAATTGTTTCTGGGCAGTACCACCCGCGAAAGCCCTTGAAGGCCGTAACACTGGTTGGCCTCACTGCTATGCTCAAATCCGAAACTTGAAATCGACCTGTCGGGCCAGTTGCTAAGACCGAGAAGAGGAGTCTCGTCACATCTAGCCATGTCAGGTTCAGCGGCGCAGAATATAATGACTATTGATGGATATACATCCTATCAAATATCTTCCGCCGCCTTTTTGAAGATTCGATGTCCTTGGGAGGCAAGTCTTCTTTTCTATTCAGTGTCGACTTTATTCATTTTGATTACCAAACCTCCGCACGAGATGATGTCTAGGTCCATCGTATTACCGAGCTTGGAGTCAAAATATTCCCAAGCAGACCTTTAAATTTCAGGGTCAGTAGCAATCATTGACTCTTGATCTGGTGTCCGGCGTAGTGCAGTCACATCGGATCCTCACCTGTGTTTAAATCATGACATAGACTCGAGATATGTAGTCATAGTTGGTCATAGTTGGTTTCTATATCGTTTCCGCTGTGAAAGTGCAGAAGCCGAAAAAGTAAGGCATTGCAAACTGACGGCGAATTAAGCAACGTTCTACGATGAACGGATGTCGGCAACTTAGTAGATTGAATCCGCCGCCGATGATGTTATCCCAATAAAAATGTTCCCACTTCTTATTTCCCATCGCTGACGTTCCTCATGGCATCCAAAGACAGTGCATCCGTGTCTCGTCACATTTCCGAAATTGCCTCTGTCATACTCGAAGAGAAAGCGAAAGGACCATCCGAGTGGGAACGGAGACAATGGGCGAAGGCCAACAGGCACTTGGTGCGGACAAATGTCATTTTGATTATCGTTAGTTTTCATCATTTTCATCAAGGTCTGCGCTACATGTAAAGAGAACAATGTAGAATGCGAACCGATGGAAACAAGGATCCCTTGCAATTCTTCTGTCTGCAAACAGTCTGAAAGAGCCTGCAGCAAGTTCAGAGATGAACTATACGACCGCATTATCAAAAGGGTGCCAACATTGGACCGGGCGATGTTCGACGAAGTAATGTCTCCACAACGAACTTCCACAGAGTCTTCCGGGCTCTCCCTTAAGATTCCAGCTCTATGCCCGTCTAGTGCATCCGTTTCTCCTACAAAATGCGCGCAAAATTCGACATCATCAGGCGAGGTACAGTAACCCGACGTCTTTGAACTGTTTCAACGAAGTTTACCGCCAATATTGTACGGCAGACTTTGTCTACTTCTACCAAATCCAGTGAAGCGCATCCCAATAGCGGAATCCAGACGCCCAGTCAAAAGCTCATGGATAAAAGCCAAGAGAATGATGAACTCCAGATCGAACTCAAAAGTAAGCTCATTACCGTTCACTGAGAATTCGGGACTGACTAATTTATAGGCCTGAAAGCAGGTGGGAAATACTCAGTTTTCTGCTCTTTCTGCGGTGCTTATGGAGATTAAAAACACAGATTTGGACAAACAACGAGCGGAAATTCAATGTGAGTACCTGGCCTAATGTCAGAGAACTATAGATGAACATATTTACAGCGTTGAAGGTAGAATTTGACGCAACTAAGACCGCCCTCGCAGGTACGCTACTCTATGTAATCATGTGCGAGTATTCACCAATGCATTCAGCTGCTAATGAACGAGCGGACCGGGAAACGAATCTTCGAACGGACATGATCCGAAGTCGCCTTCTCTCTTTCGCCCCATGTTTCCTTACTAATGATAATACCGAGCAGATGTAGTGCCACAAGAGCAAATTGACGCTTTGAAGAAGGAACTTGATGGTAATGACTTCAAGCCTCTTCTCTGAATCTTCGGCGTTGTTACATTTCGTATAGAGTCCCGACAACGGTTAACAGACCAGCAACAGATCCAGGGTCAGCTCAAGAGTATGTACCTGAGGAAATCGCCATCGATGCAGAGCCTGATCGTTACTATCAGATAAGATCCAAACTCTCCGAAGAGAGTTTTCAGAGCATGAGCACACAACCATATCCGCAGAGAAACATCGGTCCAAAGTTAATGGTACTCAACTTTCTTCTGCATCCCACATAGCACTTATGAGCTTCGATAGCCCTCCGCCGCCAAATCGAATCCGAACGCACTGCCCGGCTCCGGCTTGACCTTGGCGAGCTGTATCATACCAGATCTGAACAGGTACACCTTACCAAAGCTATGGATGATTACGAGGCACAACCGGAGTCTTCAGTGTGCCACTTAGTGTCGGCTGTGCGGCTGCATCTCAAAGAGCTCGATGAGACAGTAAAGAGGAAAAGAAAGACTATTCCTCTGAGCTACGACAGGGTGATGGAGGTTATGAATGGAGGAAGTGGGGTTAAACTGGAGGAGAAGGAGGATACTAGCAGGGAGACAGATGCTAATGGAGACCGTGACGAAGAGACCTCGTTGGCCGCTCCTCCGCTCCCAAGAAAAAAGCGAAGGCTTGCTCGTGATTAAGAAATATGTCGTTTGTTCGTTCTACTTTGCTCGTTGCTATCGTAGTGCCTTGTTTTGTTGCTTTGAAATTCGATCTGTACTTATATGTTGTGTCATTAGCAATGGAAGGAGTTTAATGTCTTTTGAAATGAAGACAGACCGGTCATGCCGTTTGCTCATCACGCCGTCCTGATCAAAATATTAGAGGCAAAGGTGATACGGGATATCAACATTCTGTAACATTCAGTCTCAGAATGACATCGATACCGGCGGGGCTCAGTGGGCATGTCAGCCTTACAACACAACAGCTTCAACTTGAAAATTAAGATGTCAAAGACGATCTGGGAAGAATTAAAGGAAGTCATTGGGTATGCATAGAAACGGGTTTTTCAGTTTATTAGATTGTGTTCACAGTACAGGATATAGTCACAAATCGACGCAAGCACCGCTGCATGTCAGTGCCTTATCTTTGAGACCTAGAAGTGATGGAAGGTTCTCCCCACAGGGTCCAGAGAACAAGAAATGTGTGGTATAATCGATCGCTTTTCGGCAATTAAAAATAACGACGGTTCCCTCCTCTGTCCTTGACGATTTTGGGCTAAGCCAGGGGCAGGTTTAATCTATGAAGAGAGCTCAGTTCAAGGACCATCATAGCGCGTCTCTCTCCTTACCAGCGACGAAGTTCCAACGACGAGAAGTATATCCGTTCAGTTAAGCGTTCGGGCGATCCTACCCATCCTGTCGGGAATTCCTCCAAACCAGACGACCGCAGGCTGAAGAAGTCCGCCACATTGTCCATAACAATTCGAGCCATTCCAAGATGGTACCGTAAACGAACTCTCCACTGATACATTGCCATCAGGGAGGGATGCCAAAGCCGGAGATAGAGAGTGGTGCGAGACTCGTTGATCTATTCACACCTAATGCAAAGAGTCTTGTAAGCGAAATCGTACATTTCAATCAGCCATTCCAGGACAACCTTCAATTCGTCGGAAGCGATCAGGTTGCCAAGCACCCCAAGAGCAATTTGAGATAGACCGTCGATGCACTGTGTGATAAAGAGGGGAGAACAGCTGGATCCAAAGACGGCAGCAGACCTTCTCGAACTTTGGGCAAGGAAAGCGACCCAAGAGAGTTATGAGCTGCATTGTGATTCGCCGCCAGACATACGTTGAGCAGAGGACGTAAGATATGCTGCAAGATAAAAAAGAAACCGCCACTGACTGTTTTTCAGAATTGTGAGGAAAACTCCACACAGCGACCGGAGTCACCTTGAATGCCTCGAGAGTGCATACCGACTATGGATGCTAGATTAATAAAAGCGGGAATTCTCGACTGAATGAAGACACCTGAGACGCCCACATTCCTTCGGGACCGCGACAAGCGGGAAAACCTAAGTGCCAAGCTTAGAACAAAGTCGGGTCGGGCTGGGATGTTCTACCTATCTGATCCTGCAGACGGGTCAGCTCCAACCAAGATAGCGATACTTTTTGCAGAAGCGAGACGAGTCAGGAACTCTTGAGATGACACCGCTGTCGGAAGAGGACTCACTTCGGTGATAGCACTAATTACTCCCGCGTTTATATTTGAAGCGGTCCCGCAAAATGCGTGGGTTCCGAACAGATATTTTTGACTGAGATCACTAGAAGCGCAAGTCGGCTGTAAAGTTCACTACAGCCGTCCTGAAAGGCTAGATACACATTCAAATCGGCAAGTTGTGTGCCTAGACTAGACGACTTAATAGATGGAGAGTTCCGTAGCAGCCTGGGAAGTCCTGCGGCTGGTATCCGGGGACCATACATGTGCGTGAAGTGACAACATGACAAGATAAACCTTTCCTCGCGACGTTACTTTGAAGTTAGGACTGATCGTCATGAACGAATTGCCCAGTGTAGCTGGAACCTACGAGCCAGAGTATCAGATACATGCACGATATCAAGATAATACGAGTGCTGCTCACACTATAGTTCTAGTTGTCCACTGGTTGTCCCACTGGCCAACGTGATGATCTTCACACCCAGGCCAGGCGTAACTTGCCAATTGATTGCCTTTTACACAGAGCACATATAATCGGGACGATGGTAGTCGTGGCATCGAGAGAGATGCCCAGGCGTAGGGAGTCTGTGGGAGTAGGAAAAACTAATAATAAGAGCAACCTCTGGTCCGACCATGGCAGCAGGTATCTAGATCGGGTTCACACCTGGCCCAACCTAACAGAGGAGAAGAGAAGGATAAATTGTCCACTTTCAGTTCTGCTAACTCCCTCTAAGACTTGATAGACGGCTAGAACTGCGGCCAGCAACCCCAGCGGAGCAGCGTAGAATCACGAGGCCGTTTGCGTATGGCTCCCTGCCATCGTCCACGCCTAGCTGCTTGCTGCATATAAAGAACTGTCACAGGTCTGATTATCGAGGTATCTGTCGGTAGAGCTGATGAGACCAATGAGATGCATGGTGGTGGAATCAAAACGAGGAGGCGGCCGGACGCTGCTCCGAATCCTCCGCGACCCTTGTCGTTTTGCCCCCGCTCTCGAGTTTCTCCAGGCTTCGTCTTCCATTGGGGCGGCTCTGATATATCTGTTTGCACCTACGAAGAGGTCATGGGTAATCGAAGAATGGTTGCTACATGATACAAAGGCAAACATGGCACTTCACTCCTTCGGTTCTTCCCTTTCCCTTGGACTGCTAGCACGGCTGTATTGCCCTCCTCCTCGCTTGGCAGGCCCTTTCAATGGATTTGCGCAAGGCAAGCAAACATTTGTGACTGTAATAATCAATTCACAACTGAAACCACAATAGAAAGCTCTCGAAGGACGTCCGAAGGCACCTCTGAAGCTCTGCCTAGATACACAAGCAGTTAACGATCCGACCACGTTTCCCATCATATCCAAAGCAATTCGCAACATCCTTTGCGACGGGCCCATACCACACAATTTTATCGATCCAGGTTCCGGTGAATGGCAAGGTCCAGATACCTTACATGCTTACATGCTCAGAATCAAGAGTGCACTTGGTTATCTAGGCTTCAACACGCCTTGTAATATCGAGCTCACGTCGAGGCTATGGCCAGACCTTTCACGTTGGATCTTAGGCTTTCTGACCGTCTACATACATGATCGACGACCCCGCTTCCTCGTTGACGTCGTTATTTCAAAACGATTCATGGTTTTCTACGACAAACCCCACATTCGTCGCGTTGCATGCACTTGTAGATCACTCTCAGTTGTTTCCCCTAATGGAGGACACGCTGGGATTCGTGCAGTGCATGACGAATACGGACGAATGCTGTGGCTGGCCACATGTATTCTGTGCTGCAACCGTCAGCGGTATGGTTCCTGCAACGGTTTGACGATGCATTTCTTCCGGGCCAGCCTGACACAAGTGCGGTGGCTAGTGCCATGTACGAGATGCCAGTTGATAGAGCTCTCATCGATCAACCCTCTTTGGTCTTTGTCACCTTCATCCACGAAGCATCTCTCCAGCTTGACGTGATTGGGGGTTATGTAGGCTATTCATCATCCGCGGCCTTTCGTTCGCCAAAAGTCCGTTAACAATACCCCATCATTCTGCTACCTCATTTCTCCCATAGCTGCGAAATCTCTTTGTAATCAGCGATAAATGCATGATCCGCAGCAAACAGAGAGAGTTCTACATCTTTCCTTCATCTGTCCTCTTGACTCATGCTCAAAGGATGAACCAGGATGGGTGTTGCAAGCCTTGGAACGACATATGTTTAAGTTGATTCTCAAGACCATTCACTTCACTTCGAGTCTACAGAATCGTTAACTTGAATAGCGAGGAAGAAATCAACTTCCGAGGAGATTAGAGGTGCGCGCGCCGCGTGTCACTAAGAACGATGCCTTGATGATACAGCCTACCGTGAGCAAACTGTGCTTCGACTGTTTGCCAAGCTTGACGTACATTTTAGCGGCGGAAGACATCTGGAAAAGCTCCTGGACAGAGAGAAGACAGGGAAAAACGGCAGGTGCTTGAAGTCTCTCATAACCAACGCATCGACTGAGTCAATGGTTTACATAGATCCCACCTTGCTTTGCCAAATCGCCTGATAGATTGAATATGTCAAAGAGGACGGTGATCCATCCACAGAGTTATTGAATATCAAGAAGACTGCGTGGGCATCGTCAGTCAAGCGTGTGTTCATTATTGACCACACATCGATGCCACTCCTCTAGCGTCAACCTATATCAAGTGCATCTCAAAATGTTATTGGAGAACAGCGGCATCCACTAGTTGATGGTAACCATGAGTATTGTCGAGGTTCCCGTTCAGCTTGTATGTGAGGGTTCTCGGAACACAATTGGAAACACATGTATTGTCGGCCCGTCTGGGATGGTAGGCTGCAGGTGCAGTTTCACAACCGCCAGCGAGGGTGGCGCAACTATAGAAACCATGACTTACAAACATGATAGCTCCTTAGGTACCGAAAGAAAGAGTGATCTACAAATTCATAACAACTCGATGCCGTTAAGTTGATTGTTATTAATTCATCTTACGGATGTCGAAGTAAGAAGTTCTCAGAGCTGTGCTGGCAGAGTCCGGACCATGCACGTAACACGCATCGCGTCTGAAACAAATCCCAAGAAGTAAGCTTAGCCCTGAGAGCCCTTCAGTGTATCGAAGTCGGCAACCAGAGAAAAGGAAAGGTGGTGAAGTGAATGATTGCTTGAATTATGTGACGAGCACCAGTTAGAAAAACGCACCTTTTTTTCGGATCGTCCGACGAGGGAAGTATCGCAATCAACTTTCTTGACGGCCAAACCAAGCAGATAGAAGCAAAGCATGAATTAGTCATTTTTAACTCCTGTCAGATCCCTCTGAGACTTCGTATATAAACTTAACCAATACTATGGCTAGAGCTCAGAACTCGTAGGAAGAAGCGATGCAAAACATAATTTTACGGTTATCTTCGATCCGTTGGTGTATGCCTCCCATCTTCCACGCAGAAGAGACCAACTGCACATATGAGTCTGTAACGGGTCTAGCTATGGTCATCTGCCGGTAGTTTTTGAATGACGGTCTTGGTAGCGAAGGAACGCAAATCGGTTTAACTTACCCGCGACGAAGGCCACGTGGGTGATGCGCATCACGGACACAAATCTTCTTCTAGTACTACATCTTGTGGCATTGTATCTTGATAACTATCTTCTGGCTACGCCATGCGTTTCATACCGACTTTTCGGTTCCGGGATGAATACCTAACGAATACCTCGCTTCGGTTCACTTGAGGCTCCTGGACATGGAGTTGTTGATAACGTTATATTGTTGGCCTCGCAATAGTAGCTATGGACATATCTTGAGTCCCTCAACCGAATATGTTATGCAGTGATCTCAAACTTGAATGAATGCCTGGGTCAAATTCAGAAGCAATATTTTCGAACTGGATTGCCGTGCCTTTTCTACCAAAGGCACCTTCATCGGTTATGGCTATTCTTGACTGTGGCAACAGACTTTTCTATGCCGTGTTCGCTTTCAATGTACTCGCTTTACCTACCTGCTCTTCAGTTGATGGCTGCATAGAACGGGCCAAGATTCTAGACCGAGGCATGTACTCCCATTTTTTTCAAAACTGCGCGTGGTGGTCTGACATCTGCAAGAGGCTCCTTGACCTCTTCGTAGCCAAGGGGACCTGCTCAAATGAATGGGGAAAATGTATTCGTAATTCAGTGGGCGAGAGGGCGGCCATGGTATATTCCCTTCTCAAGTTTGACCAGATTTTGAACAGGCACAAGGGAACGAATAAGGGATATGGCAGACTTATGCATCAGTGGCTGCTCAAGCCAAACTGCGGTTATTTTTCGTAAGATCCCTCTCTCCGTTCATGACGTGTATTCTTCCAATTGATATGTACAACGTTCTGTGGCCAAATAGGTTGCATTACTACGATATCCATGACCAAATTCGATCATCATTCAAGGAGAAGTATGTCTTGGGGATTATACTGATGGGTTTCATACATATTTCTTGTACTACTACTCCGACTCGGATATTTTGGGGACCATTTACATTTCCTCCTTCCTGGTTCTCGCCCGTTCTCCACGTCCTCCCAGTAGTGTTCTGCCCTCGAATCGAATCCTGCTGTAACTCATGGTCCTAACCAGGGCTACTGGAGGTACAAGTACAAACATGAATTTTAATTGCAAAGAACTGAAAAATTATGGCTTCGGCCAACCGCAGAATCAAACTAATTAGCCCACCATGGAGGTACAAAGTATCATACATGTCTGTTACTCTACTCCACATTGCATGCCAAAACACCAGGGGAACTCGGAAGGAAGAGCGGAGGGACCAGAACAAGAGGGAAAGAGGATCCTGAGGACCTGTACCTCCACTGCATCGTAGTAGCTAGCTTACTTGTTGTGGTTAATCAAATGCTGAAAACAAAAAAAGAAAAAAAAGAACTGAAAAATAGAGTAATCACGTCGTTGAATTCCCATCAAATGCCTACTAACCTCAACAACCTGATCATTGCAGTCTGGCAGCCTGAGAAGGTTTCTATAAATCAACTGCTCCGATCTTTTTTTCATCAACTACATCATATGCTGACCCCATTTCATCCCAGGACCGTCATGGGAGGAGTGGAACACTGTTCACGAATCACAAGAACATCGCCCCACGGGAACAGTGACTAGATAGCTACGTCGGTCACTGTATAAGTATTACATTGTATCCCGAGAAAAGCCAGTCATAAACTTCAAGGGACAATGGCAACCGATATCTTGGTTCAAGAAGTTAGCATTGTTAACCCAAGGCCTTAGGAGGGAGGGCTCAAGAATGATCAAATACGAAGGAGGCATATGCGATGCGACGGAGGATCCTTCCTTCCCTGAAATTTGAATTCAATTGGTGTCCCCCGATCAATCAAGTGTTGAAAATTTGATACCGAATACAGCCAGTAACCAAGTGAAACCCAAGATATCTCGTTTAGTTCTATAGGCACAAAATTGACAGGGCGCACTTGTTGTACCTCGCTAGAAGCTCCAAAAGAAAATCAGAAGAGAGGTCTGTAGCGGCTTGTGCGGAGGATGCGAGTGCCAGGGGTGCCAGAGCATTTTTTCCCGCTCATTGGGAAAACAGACGAACATCCAGCGCGGAAACTGAAGCGACCGAGGTATGACAAATCGAGAGCGATGATTGCAGAAATGAAATAATTTGATGAAAGATGGCACACGTTTCTTTAACATGAATACATTGTCTTAAACTAGAATTATAGGAGCAAGAAATGATGAAGTCGTGACCAGTCGCTATGAGTTGCGCCCGGAGAAGAACAATCGATTTTACCCAGAGGGTAGCGAGGCGCTTGATCGTGTCATCCGCTGCGTCTGCGTTACGTGACAGCAACCAGACAATAAAACCTTGCATTATATCTTTGATGAGTTGGTTTTCCAGAAAAAACCATGATTCTCAGGACCCGGGGACTGAACACTGAAGCTGAAGGAAACAAGCCGTATTGCCAACACTGGCCTAAAATGGTTCCGTGGAAGTTTCAGTAGAGTCGGATCACCGTATGCGATTAAAGCACGGCGTTGACTGAAAAGCGAGACACAGCGATTTCAGAGACACAATAGCTGCACCTTGAAGCTTCCGAATTTGAAAGACCGCTGGGCTTCAATCAATGGAAAAGCCACTCAGGGGCTCTCTAAGTGCTGTACATGTACGATCGTGCTGCGTCAAATGATCGGAGCCGCGGCAAGTGTAAAAATTTCAATTTCACGATTTTCAATAAAGGCTTCCGCTATCTGCTAAGTACGTACCTACAAGTTTGACGGCCTGCAATGCTCAACTAGAGAACAACCTTCAGCATTTTAAGCATTCTCCATAGCATTTTCGCTCTCCACAATATCCGCATCGGCACGCCATGTAACCTGACAACCTGCATCAAGAATACATGGGTGCCGTTTCAGGTCGGAACTATAGCTATTGATACCCTGTATGCGCCTTGATGCAAGGTAACTTGAAGTCTTCGAACGGCGCATAATCTGCGACCTCGTGTAGGAGAAGGCATCAGTTCCCTGCTCCGCTGCTTTCTGATCTTCACCTAAGCCGGGAATTCCAATCTCAGCAGAACATCTCTAGTTTACTTAGAGTACATATAATATGTAATATGATAGTAAAATTGTATCTTCCATGCGTTACCATTCTTCGGTCTGCCAAATTCGTATAACATTAACATATCCGAACTGGTTCCTGTTCATGGTTCCCGGAACGTACGGACACCGACTTTTGATTGGCAGAAGATTGTCAGATGAGAAGCCGTAAGCAACACGATGTTGACCCTAATTCCTTCGACTAGAAGGACAAGGCACCAATGACATGCATGCCCTCCATAAAAAGCTCCTGATGCCCACCTTTATTCGTCTCGCATGTCACGATAGCCTCCAAGTCTATTCGCGGCAAAGTATAAATTATATCTGTATCTATTTACAATCTATTCGATGTGGTTAAATCCGTAAAAAACGGATATAAAAGTGATATCCATCTCGAGACTTTTGCCAAACAACCTTCTCTTATTCTGTCATTGGCACTCTCATATCAATGTCGTCTTCTCCCTCTCAAACAGGAGAAGAGAGCAAGGCTGTAACCTTTGACATATCTCTCTTCCCCAGTCCGTCTAGAGGCATAAAGCGATCTATTGAGGACGCCAACCTATACCTCGACGACCCGGTTGTAGAAAAAAGGAGACGCCGGGAACGAATGACTGTAAGTATGGGCTACATTAATGCGATCATACACTGAGGTCCCTTGCTCAGCCCAATAGACTCACATCAGATAATATCACATACAGCGTCGGCACGTTTACCCCAGCCTCCTTATGGGCCCCAAGAACATGCACAGTCTCGGATTCACATTCGATTTATGACGTATTTGAGGAAGAGGTAGAAAAATTGGGTACATTAGTCGAGGGTTCGTTCCAGCTTTGCTGTGCTCTACGAGCGTAACGAACTGATACATTGCATGGCCGCAGTGATGGAACACAGCTCTTCATCCCCATCGACTTCGACGACAAGCTTTGGTCTCTATATTGACGTTAGTCGCGCAATATGCCGATTAATAGAAGGAAACATCACACGAAGTGAATTGATCGAGGGGCTTCAGCGTGTGGCAAGTCAGTTGAAGCAGTGGGGCTAAACGCCGTTACAGTAGCTTCCATCTGTGTTCTCTACAATATTTCTTTTAAGGACTATCAACAGCAGTTGAAGATGCGAAAGTTCCTGAGCTTCATAAGCACATGGATCCGTCAAGAAGAATGAAATAACACTTGCACAAAAATATTGATTACCAAAGGTAGCACCTGAATCGGTTCAAAGACGGCAGCCACAAAGGTTGAAAAATATGTGTACAGCACGATTCAATGTGGCGGAAAAACGCTGACCTTCTATCGAACGGCCAGGCCGACATGCCCACGCAACATGAGCACAGCCTGACGGATCGCCCATAAGGTCCCAAGTATGGTGTCCCGTACAGTCGCTACCTATCTGTGGGTCGTCGAGCATAGTCAGTAGTGGACCATCATAGTCCATATGGGAACATCGTGGCCGTTCCCCCTGCATCATATGGGCAGTCCACAGAAGCCACAGCCATTAGAGCCGGTGGTATTGACCATTATGTCCGGACGGTCTCATGGAGGACTGGTACCTGTCTTCACACCAATGAGCAGTCTCGTAGAAGAAGCGCAGACTGACAGATCGGATAATGCGTGAAGGCTAAAATGCATGGCTCAGTTGGCTAGTACAGCCAGCCTCATACCTCACCCGGGCTGAGTATTTTCCGCTTGTTATTGCACTGTCCTAGGGTCTTCAGTTTCAGGTCATATCACCGCTCGATCTCTTCCTTTGGTTTCTTGTAAGAGTCGTGGCCTGTATTTTTTCGCGGAAGCAACATCATGGGCAACTGGTTCAAAGATCGGAGCCGAACCTGAGTATTCCGACATTGACCAGGAGAGAATGACAACCAGAAGGTATTCATGACCACGAGGTGATGCGTAGAGGGCCACTCCGATGACGACAAGATCTGCCGAGACAAATACTCCAGCGTAGGGAAGTTCAATGAACCGGCAATCAGGCTTCTCAGAATTGCGGCCCTAGATCGATTAATCAGGGTATATATCTTTTGTCTCGGACTGGTCGAGAAGCGCTTCCATGCCTGGGGGTGTAACCATACGCACGTTTAGGATGACAGTGTGCCCGAGTCACATTGTACCGCATCTTTGTCCAGAAAATGAAAAAAGCAGAGCCTGCTGCTGGGTTTCTGTTTTCAGAAAGAGATCGAGCACATTGAGCAAATGAGACCGGAGAAATGCGGTAGCAATCGATGCTGGTACAATCTATCTCCATCGAAAAGTACAGGGTTTAACAAGGAAATCTCGAGGCCTATCGAGGGTAAAAGAATGATTTCAACGGAGTCGGTATCGTCAATCCTGTACCAATTATATTACATAGCCATAAGAAGATGCGATGCCTGCCCTGAGATTGAGTCGTCGGAGTTGCCCTGTGGTAGACCGTTGTTCCCTGTGCTTAACCAATCCATATCGTGTTATTTGATAACAGAACAGACCGTGTCTTCAGGAGATAGCGGTTTTGGATGTCTTGATTGGTTGGCCATTTCCGATCGGAAGAATTTATAAATCCCACGTGGGTAATGATAAACCAAACAACCCCGTCGATCTGATTTGTGTTTGTTTGGAAGACTCCACCTGTGTATAGCATGAGTCGGTCCACTATACGTCAAAGAAACCCACAAAAGTTTTGCTCCAAGTAAGCTATTTTATGAATGTACCAAATACTACTGTGATCCTGGGTGGCAAAAGTTCGGGGGGACCCCAGATACTCACGCAGTACTGTTCCGATTCCCGATTTTCTGGACCGGCAGAATGCGTTTCAGTAAGGTTTGATGTTCGGGAGAAAACAAGAAAGTTGATCTTTATACGTATACGAGAATGCCGACACTGATGGACCTCGCCAGGCGCAACGAAATCTGATCTCAGGGTTTTATACCGTCGCTCTCAATTTCATTCGCGTATGGGCCGGTTCACTTGCTAGACTATGCTTCCCCTGAGGTGTGTGGACTATTTTCCCCCATTACGGGACGATTACGTCGTCTGGAGAAGTCCTTTGCCCGGTTTGGGCTACTGGACTTGTTAACAGCCTGATAGCATGGCCTCGACGCAGCATGTTTTGATTGACAACCGACCTCTATGAATGCTTGTCAGTTTAGCTCAGGAAAATCGTGTGTCAGCTTCCCCGCTCCTTGCTCCCTAACGCGTAGTAGCTTCCTTTCCCAGCCCACGAGATTGCTTCTGGGAATCAAACAACGCATTCAATCCAGCTCGTGCTGTGGACCCTTTTTTGACGCTATGGATTTCGTGAGAAATATCTCATTACATCTTTGCTAAATTAATTGAATACATGACTCGTAAGCCGATCTTTCTCTGAGGTCGATCGACCTTCCTTGCACCTCAAGCCCCACCACCATGTCTCAGGACTCTGACATGCGAGCCGTTGTGAAGGGTTTTTCAGCTCAGTTACGGCTCAGAATTCTTCGAGCATGGACGACGAATCCCACACCGGACGACGAATACGCATACTGTCGAACGAAGGGTCGTTGGGTACGATTATCCGTTCTCGATGCTCATAGGGCTACCACTGAATACTATCAAGACCCCTTGCTCACGCTGCGTCTCTATGGAGAGCGTCTGCGTTGCCTATAATATTGGCTGTTCTAACTGCAACTTTAGTAAAGTTGTTTGCAGTCGTTTTCGCGACGAGAAATACCACCGCATCCAACAGTTTATTGCCATGGACAGTACATCGATGCCTGCTGTAGTACAGGCATGTCTGGACCTCCATCGTCAGGACTTGGTGCCTGCGGTGGTGAGGGAGGGACTGGGGCTCTCGGTACATCATTCCCTGGTCTGCTCCATTCTGGACTGACTCCCTCCGTGCCATGCATTACAGGAAAATACCTTACATGGACACAACAATTCACCTGCTGAAACGAGTCTGTCAGTCAGCCTACCCAGCTTCCAGGAGTCTTTTCCTTCGCATCTTTTTCCATCGATCGATCCACACGCGGAGATAGAGACCGGCAGCACCGCCAGAATGGTTCAGGCATTGCGTCAACGAAACGAATATTTGCACAGAGAGAATGAGCGACTCAAAAAAAGGCTTCGTCTCGAAGTGGAGGACCAAGGTGTGTTTCTCGCTAATCTGTCGATTTTTGATGTGAACCCGCTTATGAATCAGACTCCACAGAGCCAAATGGTACGGCTTCTGTTTCATGAGATTTCCGCTCATGCCTTCAGCACGCATAACAGATTTCAAGTTGTCTTATTACTCCCTGAGTGGCGGCGACGACGTAGAAGAAAGTAAGTATCATTTTGCTTGTCCTGTCCAGATTTTGCACGGTCTCACACGGTCTCTTGGGACTTTTTTAATGCAGAACTGTGCAAGCGATGGATTCATGCCACTAGCTTGCCACCTCGGCTTGCTCGCAAGAAATTTGCCTAGCGGCAAGGTTCCTAGGATCAGGGCATGTTACATAGCGGCTATACATATAAAGTCGTAATCTGATACCTTGAATCCTGAAGTATTTCCCTAAATGACCGTCACGAAATCGTTCAAAAATTGTATCATGACTCTGCCGGCTCAAGTTGGAATGATTGAGGTACACACTGTATTCAAATACCGGTTCCGGTTCGCCGTCGTAAGAGATGTCTAGTCTCAAAAAGAAGCTCGGGAAGTCGTCTCATCAGTGGAGAAAATGCCGCTGAACCTGAATATATTCGATAACCATGCGAAAATGGATACCAAGGGCATGATGTATGGAAAGACATCATGCTCGGAGAAGATTTCCTCGTATAGATTCCTATTATTATTTTTTCATAGGTCGAAATTTGAGGGTAGGTAGGTAGGCAGGGGAATTACGCCGGCCCTGACCTCAGTTGGCAGTGAGCCAGAAAAAAATGCCAAAACGACTATTTCCAGGACCGTGTAAATTCTTCAGATCATCCTATCAAACACCGAGGTGGTAAATTCCGGCGGATTTTATAAAAACAGTTATAAAAGAAATATGATCTTCACTTCGATCTATCAGGACTTTCACAACAGCCCCACTGATCCCCCCCGAAGGCCATACTCTCTCACCCTCTCACTGTCATGTCGCCAATATCCTCTTTTTCCGCGAAGTCGGGAGGAGAGGGAAAAACTGCAACGTTTAACGCATCTTTCCCCTCTGGCCTTCTGCCCAGAGGCGTAAAGCGGTCCATCGAGGAGGTCGACTTCAACGACGACGACGTCGAGAGACGTGGGCACCCAGTGTGGGACGATGTGAGTATAGGTTCTCTTCACTCAGGTGGCTGTATGCTGATGTAGCTTGCTTAGGCCAGCAGGCCCACCTCAGCTCTAACAAGCGATGTAAACATGTTCACTCCGGCCGCATTATGGGCGTCGCCTTGGGGGTCCCATTCGGTTTATGATGAATGGACAGAAAACGCGATGACTACTAATATTCCAGTCGAAGGTTCGTTACGGCTCCGAAAGCGTGAACACTCTAACCTTTAATGCCAGTAGGTATTGCCTCAAGCCCGACAATGACCTCCGATCTCTACATGGAAATTACTCGTGTCATTTCTCGGTTGATAGAAGGGAGCATCACACAAAATGATTTGATTGAGGCGCTCCAGCGAGTGGCGAGCCAGTTAAAGCATTGGGATTGAATGCTGAGGTGTGCTGTTCGAGTTTGCTGATATGAGGAGGACAGCCAAAAGGGCTTCTAGTGTTCCTAGTCTCGATTCCCGTTCTCTGGTAGTTTTTTTGAGTATTCGACACCGGTTCAAGATAAAGAAGCTAACAGAGATGATAGATGAATATCACACAGTTTAGAGAGAGAAAACAACGGCACTTGCGACAAAAGGCTCAGGGTTTCATCAAACAGACACAATGCGTCTACGTAATCGAAAACACTGACAACATTTAGAAGCTCTTCACAAGTACGCCAAAGAACGAACACGCCAGCGTGGTTGGCGTCATCCCCAATGACCAAGCACTAAGCTAACAGCCACGACCGAGCGACCGTCGATAATAAACTTGAACAGCGCACCGAGCGCAGCGTCTCGAAAACAGGATGGAGACGAAGGCCGTGGAAGGTATGGATACTTTCAGCACCCAGTCAGCAGATAAGTTGAATATCATCCTGTAAAATCGTAGAAACCATGGAAACACTGAACAGTCATGGTTCAAAATCGTGAACTGTGATGACGCAGGCTCTGGCCTAAAGTTGAGGCCTCGAGGTGCCTTTGAAATTCTTCGACGCTAAGATTATTGAACAGCAACGTCTATAGAGCAGAAACGTGACGGAGAGAATGTTTCGCTGTGATTTTGAATCAGCTTTTACGGGCGGAGGGGACACAAATAACCGTGTCACCTTGGATTTAAAGCCGCCTCTTCCCAGAGTATCTTCGCCGATGGTAGCAAACGTATGTTCCTGGGACCGGGAGCATGCGTGAGGCCGAACAGATTTAGGAAGTTTTACCCTGGCGATGAGATATCATGGAAACACGAGTCCGGGTATTGCTTCGAACTCCCGAGTAAAGCGCGCAGAAAATAGTCCTTGGCTCCAGGCGTTACCATGTGTTCGTTCGCAGTCTTTCCGCGGATCACAGAAATGCAGATACCAGAGGATCGAGAGCTTGCTCCTGTCGCAATTCAGAACGGTATACGAAAGATTGTACTGTTCGCCACCGAAGAGGGACTCACTGAAGTGCGGCTCCGACCAGGGTAAGCCCGTTTCTGTTTAGTGTATGTGTCGACTCTAGTACGTTATCGGATTTGCAGTATTGTCTGCACCGGATGAGCTGTCCCAAGACTCCGAGAGCTGGCTGAGAAAAGTGTTACGTTGAACTTGGTGTTTTTGCCATTTCTCAACGAAATATTTCTTGATGGGATGGTCAAGGCTATTGATAAGGAAAATCAGTTGCGTGTATCGTACCAATGAGCAGTGGGAATGGAACGAGCCCAGATGGTTCGGAGTCGGAACGTAAGTGATTTGTGGTGGTACGCCTTGCTACGTAGCGTACGTAGCTTTGATACCTTCGTAGCACCCCCCCACCCCCCTTTCGTTCTACGTTGCCTGGTGCAAAGTGTACGTAGCTGCTGGTACCTCACCATAGCCCTCAGCCAATAATGCCGTAACTGTCCCATACCTGTCTATCGTACTCTCATACAATTGTGTTCATGATCTTCCAAATGAATAAAAATAAATATATTGAAAATAGTCAATTTGAGCTAACTACTGACATGTAGACAGCGTACAAACAATACACCAAGTGCGGTGTACACTACCTGCTACATCCACAGTCCATTGCCACTCCTCCTTGACCGCTGACGCCCTACTGCCGGTGCACATAATAAAATCATGGTTAACCTGCATCAAGATGAGTTAAGAGGCAGCGGCGGTGAAGGAACAAATCTTAGACCCACATCTTCCAGGAAGATTTTCAACACTGACATACCTTCATACTGCTTCATTGTTCACAGGAAACAGGCTTCCATGGCTCAGTTGGCCAGTCTCATATGTTACAAGGTTTTATCTCAGTACTCTTAGCTTAAGTTACAAGAGAGGGCTGAGAGCGAGTTGGGGAGTAAGTTTGTGGAAAGTTGTGTGGAGAGTCTGTGCATAGATTGACTTGCATTTTGCATAAAGTACATATGCGAACGCGCTTCAGTGGCTCAGTTGGTTAGAGCGCCAGTCTCATATAGGCTATGATCCTTGATAAAGGAGTGATCTGGAGGCCCCCAGTTCGATCCTGGGCTGGAGCAGGTTTTTCCTCTTCCGCCTCTTAAACTAGAGTTGTTAGTAGCCAGTTCGACCTTAGCTTGGGAGCAATTTTTTTGGAGCATTTCTTTTTAGAGATCAAATTTAGGGTATGAAATAAGGTTGCGCACGAAACCTGCGGGGGTAAGTTATCTGCATAATGTTACTTTGTACATGGAATATATGAGTAAATAGTATTGAAGATTGCGCAAAATTTGCTGCTCACGCTGTCGCATGAAAGGTAAGTTACCGGTCCGAAATCCTGGTGTATCAAAACCTAGGGTTCGTGCGCAAATCTAATCAAATTCAGCTTTTCCTACCGTTGTCGCGCGAGTGACTTTAGAACGGAGCTGTAGTTTTGGTCCTTCTCTTTTCTTTAAGAACTTGTTGATCCTAATGTATGACGGGTCTCTACCCGCTTTGAGACGGATTCTGTCTGCGCGAATTATCACTCCTCAAGGATCTTCCTGAACAAATATTCAATATTCACCCTCGATCGTACGATTCTGAATGTAATAACAGATGTACATGAAAGGCTGTTATCAGTGCTTTTTATATATTTACCCCGGTCTATTTATGTTCTGATAATGGTAAAGATACATGTCCGTTGCTTCGTCGTCGCAGTTGTTAGGCAAAATCAGCCCAACTCTTGTAATATTACAACCCTCAATGCACTCGTGCGTAAGTTTCATTGAAAATATAATGTACAGATACCGCTTCTACTCCTAACAGATCATCTCACAGGGGCAGCCTGAAATAATTTCGTCACGAGAAAATACGGATAAACAGTAAATTCAACTCACAAACGATGTCGGCAACGCAGTCGCAGCAACCCTACGTACGTAACGAATGAATAAGTCGAAGAGTGAGACGAGTACTTCAATAACTTACTTCACAACATTCTACAAAGGATTACGGGGTAAGTCAATGTTGATTGCGGCGAAGGTCTACGGTCTTACCGAAACAAAGGAAGCAGCCGACGAGTCCGAGGAAGCAGTCCTGTATTAAGCACGAGGTGAGCGGCGTTGTGATAAGCGAATACTGAGCCATAAGCGCACCTTTCCCGCACCTCCACCACGCAGACGCATAGCCTGTCTCTTGTGCTCGCACTCATGGGTCTGAGTTTGGGTCTGCACTGGGGGGTTGGTAATGTCTGGAAAAAGAACTAGGTCGGACGTGAACCAAGAAAGGAGAAAGAGTACGTACTCATTCCGCCAGCAGCTTGGGGCTGGGAGTCGGTGGGAACCTTAGTGTGTGCAGTGGGTGGGGCGTTCATGGTGCTGATGGGTGAGAGGAAAAGGGACGTGGCCTTATATATGAGCGTTCTTCTATTAATAGATGTTGCACGAGGCCTGGAGCCGTGACGTCACATCGCCTGCGGGGAGCAAAAGCTATGCCTTAACCCCGCAACGAACGTGGTGAAGTGGATAGCCATCGAGGTGAGGCTAGGAAATGGCAGCAGTATTGGTTGGTAGAGGATCCTGAAAGGACAGACTCAGCGTGATCAAAGTAGATATGAAGGAGCGCCCTACCGACAAATCTCACGATACAAAGCTATGCCTATTTCATAGCGCAGCACCTCATGCTATCCAGCATACACGCAGTTGCACTGGAAAGTCCAAAATGCTGGGTACATGTGCGCGCTGAGTGCTCAGCCTCGGAACAAGCAACGAAAAAGATGCCTGCCGTCAGTTGCTATGCATCCCACGCACCAAGCACCCTTGATTATCGAACGTGATTCATTACCCGCGCATCGTGTAATGGAAAAGGTGGCAGCTTCCATGAAAACTTTGTCTATTGCCCCACGCAGATCGGTTGGAAAGTGACCGCACGTGCAAGGATAGGTCCATTACGGGGAAATCAAGTCGCCGAACTTGAACAGTTCAGCCAGAGATGGCAAGTGAGAAGATTTACAATTCATACCTTGCCCTTCCTTCGCGACACCTTCGACTACGTCTTCAGCGTTGGCTTCAGGTCGGTGAATAACGTGCCAAAATAAGAATTGCGGCCGGTAATTGTCTCTGTACCCTGTAGCGGGGATGAGGGGATTCATGAATAGTAATGCATAGCAGCGATATCGAGGCCTGGTATGGCCGTTTAAATAATTCGTGTCGTCCTAGGCGAGGAAATATATTCTGGGGCATAGTAACGCCGAGTTCATTGCTTGGCGCGAAAAAATAAAAGAGGACATCGCGGTCAGAGGCAGAGGAAAGTAGCTGATTCCGGCCGTGACTATACTTCAACAAGCTTCCTGCCTTTCTTGGTCGCTTCCCCCTCACCAAAACTCTGAAGATGATATCTTTTTCTGACATCCTGGACTGGACATACATTGACGTGTCACAATCTATTGTCCCAGTCAAGCATCCTCTGAAATTGAACCGAAGATGTCATCGAGTTGACCATCAGAGAACGCATCTCTGACTGCGCGTCTGCACTTGAGCTCTCACACTGATGAGAACTAAAGGGCAGCGCGAGCATTCGTCAGATTTGTCCAGTGTTGTATCAATTCCAGCCGGGTCCTAACCCTAGTATCTGAATATACAGCAAAAGACCAAGAAATTAGATCATGGCCATTATTCAGAAAGCTGGGTAGCATTACACAGCATAAACTACTTCCTCGACTTGTGCCGTTTCCCTATTTTAAACTTTGCTTTCAATAACTTCAGCACCACATATGCTAGAAGACGATACAATACCATCGCAACAACAATAACACCAAGATTAAGTGGTGCGTTGATGCCTCCGAACTCAAACATATCTAACACCTGCTCCCCGGAACTAACGGCGCAAGTGCCATCGGCAAGCCGCTGATCATCGTCGCACGAGAATACCTGTCCACGGAACGCGTATGGCATTATATTTCGCACCGCGTAGCCAAGGGGTGAGAGTTTGTTCAACCTCTTGAGAAACTCGGGCATATCCAAGCTCATCAGGCCTGCCGGAGATGATTAGACAACAACAAAAGAAAGACAATAGAGAAGAAACTTCGTACCTACCATGAACATCGCAACTGATAGGATGACATTGGTCACATTAAGCGCAAGTCCAGTGTTTTCGTTGAGCAGTGTATTAAATAAAATACCGAGCGATTCTCCGGCGTTGACGATGCATAGCGCGTTTAGAGATACCACGAAGAACATACCGACTGTCCGGCGGAGATCGGTCGCGATAGCCGTTAACACGGAAAACATCAAGCAAGATATAATCTCGCAGGGAAGTTCTAAAAGAACATATGCAATGAAGAACGACTCAATAGAGTAAGCTCCGTCATCGTATTCCTGCACAGAATTTCAGCGGCATGTCCTTGGAAAAGAATGATAGATGGTACCCTGTAGAAAATATCCCTTTCAACAGGATAGACAGAGATATTCTGCAGCATTCCGACAAAATACACTATGTCGTAACTATAAGTGATGCCCCTGAAGCAGATAGAACAGAAATGAGCTTACAAGGAAGGATCTCCTGGATACAGCCAACACGATTCTGTATACTGATATAGTTGTGCCCAATCGGAGAATAGAAGAGACTCAAAACGATCTTTTTCCACGCATCAGAACGCTAAATAAAATGGCCATGGCACTGAAAGACATACCCCAAGTCCTAGGACGTTCCCCAACCTTGCTTCCGGAACTGCTTTCTGACGAATGAATGCCAGATATCCACGCTTCAGAAGTATAGGTAATGACGTCGTAAGTGATGACATGTTCTTTTCATGCTTCTTCAAGTCCAAAGAAAGACCTGATGTCTTCTTGTGATCTTCGACCTTGGGCGCTAGCTCTCGGAAAGCCTCAACAAGCCTATCCACCTTGGCCCGACTGAGCTCCTCTTTCTCGGCCTCACGCAAATCTACAGAGACTACATCCAGAGCAAAATCGGCCGGGTTCATTGTCGAAGGGAACTTGAAACCAATAGTCGCCATGTAATCGAGCATATCACAGGCAGACCCTGAGTACGCCACCCTCCCTCCCTTAGTTAAAAGGAGTACATTGCCAAAATTCTTGAACAGCTCGGATGAGCTCTAGTGTAGCGTCGTGATAATCGTCCGGCCTTCTTCTGCAAGTTGCTGCAGAACATCCATGATTGATGCAGCCGTGAACGCGTCCAGTCCTGATGTAGGTTCATCAAGCCTGCGGATGAAAGATTCAGCCAAAAAAAAAAAGAAGTGAAAAAAGAAGCTTACATCAACACCTGAGGCTCTGTAAGCACCTGGATAGCAATACTGACCCTTCTCTTCTCCCCACCTGAGATGCCTTTGGAAAGCTCACTCCCAACCAGCGTATCCGCACAGTCCTTCAACCCCATTTTATGCATCACTTCATCCGCCTTCTGCCTCTTCTCCTCCCTGGACATCCACCCGGGCAGTCTCAACCCAGCAGCGAATCGGAGCACCTCCCGAACGGTGCGATAGGGAAGGAGAGCTGCGTCATCTTGCATCACATATGAACAGAGCGCACGTACAACATCCCCGCTTGCAACAACGCCGTTCAGCGCTAGATCTCCTTCTGCGATGTATGTCGTCCGTGAAGTGGACTGGAGTCGTTGCGCCATCAAATTCAGCAATGAGGATTTCCCACTGCCTGAGGGACCGAGGATGACGTTGATCTTGCCTGCTTCGAAGCAAGTATTGATACCCTGCAGGACTTCAAGGCGTTTTCCTCCTCGTATGCGGATCTGTAGATTGTAATCAATAAGATCTATGTCTACGCCTGCCACCCCGTTAGCTTCCCGGCTAATGACTTTGATTTTCTTCTGCTTGGGTTCATCGGCCGCGCGTTTGGTTCCTAGGACTGTGATGTCGATTTTGATCATGGACAAGAGAAGGATCTGAAGGATGAGATAGAGAATGGCAAAGCCAAGCATAGCAGCGACCGGAATAGTCGCCCAGTCCTGCCGTGGAACTGCGAGACTCTATGACAAAGTTGCCACGGTAAGTGATGCAGTTGGGATCTGTCCGTGCGTCGCCAGACGGACAGTCAAAAAACCGATCCTTGAATTCGTTATTAACCAGCGCAGTAAATGCATAGAACTAAGATGGAATGTTAGGCTGGCTATAGTGTACTATGAGATAGGCGCACCAACTGTGATATCCATTTTATCCAACGCAGATATATGGGTATAGAATTTGCTTGTATAAAAAAGCCACAAGTGAAGGTATAGGCGGTGTACGCCAGGTTTGCAATTAGAGTTGCAGTTGCAAAATTCCGGGAAATAGCAGATGAGAGACCAGCGAACAGCACCGAGATATAGTGATTGAGCAGGCTGATCGCAAAGTAGAAGAGGAATCGTGAGACCGAGGGCGCAAATCCAATCATAAAATACGATATCGCGGAGAAAATGAGGGAGACGATTATGTCCTCCAATAATACGTGAGCAAGGCGGTAGCTGAGAATCCAAGGTAAGACCCCAACAATCCCTTCACCATGCTCCCTATCGAACACAGGCAGTTCTATGATGGTCAAACGATAAACTTCATAGATGACCATCAAATACCCCTGAAGTCCGACTGCAGTATATAGCGCTGCTCGGCGTGAACGAATACCCGCTATCGAATCTGGTAGTTGCAAAAATACCAAGCCGACGACCACACCCATCAAGACCGCCTCAATCCATGACGTTGTCATCCCTAGTGGGTCTCGGAAACTTGTCTTCATCGTACGCGAAAGCAGAGTAACCACTGTCCGCGACATGGGCGCCTTGCGATAATCAGATAGGGTAGGCGGAGGTATCAAGGTCGACATCGAACCCGTTTCGTATTCTGCAAAATCCTCCCTATAACTTTTGACAGATTCTTCTTGCCACGCGCTGATAAGCCTGTTGACACGGGCTCGAGCTGCCTCCTCGCTCTCTGAGGTCCGGACATCGATCGCTGCAGCATCAATGAGGTAGTCGGCGGGATTGACATGAGGGCTAATTGGATTCAAGTGACCTTCGAACCACGGGACAGCATCTGCAACAGGTCCGGCGTAAAGAGTATGTCCTTGCGACAGCAGCGTCACTCTATCAAGCATGAAGAAGGCCTCGGAACGAGGTTGATGCAACGTCATGATAATGGTTCTGCCCTTCTTTGCCATGCTTTGCAGAGTCTTCACTAATTGAAATGCACTGGTGGCGTCCAGCCCAGTCGTCGGTTCATCCAGAAAGAGTACGGACGGGTTTCCGAGGAGTTGAACACCCAGGCTAACTCGCCTCCGTTCCCCACCTGAGCACCCTTTGCGGCGAAATCCATCCCCGACGGGAGTGTTGGCGCACTCCTTCAGTCCAAGTTCAAGAATGATCTCTTCAACGAGCTGGGCGCGTTTTTTACTTGTAATTGAAGCCGGAAGACGAAGATCAGCCGCATACATAAGGGTTTCGCGTACGGTAAGGGTGGGTAGGAGGATGTCGGTTTGAGTAACATAGGCGTGGGTGATGCTAGAGATAGATGGCGAGTTGCTATGTAGAATTCACCCGCGTACCGCAAGGCGGCTGCTACACATTCGCCGCAACAAGACATTCAATAGCGTAGTCTGAAGGATGTCAATACACAGCAATTCCAGTAAAGTCAGAAATACCCACTTTGCTGCTACCACTGCTGCCAATAATCCCAGTCAAACTTGCACGAGGAAAATCCGCATCAATCTGGGTCAACAGATTCTTTGATAGGCCCGCCTCTTCGTCTACAGCCTCCTTCTTTGCAAACCAGCCCTGACGCTCCCTCCGCACCACTACCGAAAGCTGCCTTATCTGCACATCCACAGGTGCGACAGCAGAAAAAGACAGCTTTTCTTGGTGCGTGTCGGTGAGGTACCAGTCAGATTTCATGCGAGGTGCTTCTGAGATGTCAACCTGCTTGTCATTGGCAGCTATTTCTACGACAGGGGCACTGGGCACAGAGGCGCTGGACATGTTGGATGGATACCAGCGGAAGGTCAAATCCCCGAAGGAAGTAGCATGGGAGCACGAGGATGACCGGAGTCACCACTTCAGCGATGGTCGTTCCTTGATGACGAGACCCTTCCCACCATGCGTCATCAACGTCAACGTTCAAGACATTAACTATGTTTGACGAATCCACACTTTGCGTCTGCGACTCAAAGCGACTTCCTGGCCATCAGTACCGTCAGTATTTGTACGAAGAGGAGGACGTGCCACAAGGACGTGATACCTTGGATCCATCTCAACTGCGGTATCAAGTCTCTTTGGCTCTGCAGCAGGTCTGGGGCCAACATACGATAACGCAGTTGAAATTCAGATTCTTGGATTCTACCATGATCATGATATCTTGACGGCGGCACCGGTATTGACACACCGCCTGTTTAGTATCTTTTGTTTATCCTTCACATGTTTGGCGACCTCAGGCTTGGCATGTTTCCTGCGCAGGATTGAAGATTTCTAGAGGCAGAAAGCCCCGCAAACCCTGGGTATCAAAGTGATTGTAAGGCCAGGTATGCTATCTATGAGAGTTCTGCTTACACTTGTGGCGATCTCGGGGGGTGATTGTTCTCCGTACGGTCCTGGTTAGCTGGCAATTTGGTATAGTGGTTGGCGAATGCCTGTTGGTTCTCTAGATTGGAAGATATGTCCCCAAGGTGTCCGTAGAACTGAAGGCACGTCCGTCTCTCTGATGCACGCGCTTCGAGTTCGCCCTAACCAACGCAGGTATCATGCATACGATGAATTCAGAGACTGTAGCAAAGACACACGCTACACATATGGCCGCAGACGGCGTGACAGTCTTCAAAGAGACTACCAGGGAGAACAAAGACCAGGAAAATGATATTTTCAGATAAGAATCAGTTCAGTAGCTCGCCACTTAGCTCCGAGTCTCCAGTAAACCTATCCTCCGCAGACAACATCCTTTGGTGCTCAAAGACCATTGGAGCTTCACCCTCACCCGTTTCCCCATCTCTTGTATAATTCATCAACGTGCTTAAATGGAATACGTCGTGACTACTCGAAAGCTGCTTTGATGTAACTCTATATTCTGTGAATCAACCATACGTCTCTTCAAGTCACTGTTTTGTCTTTGACACTTACCATTTGGCATTGGTTATTTGATTATGCTTCTGCGCGGGACGCCGCTTGATCTCCGTATGAGACGTCCAGCTCGAAGGCAGCTACGACATCAAAGAAAGAAAATATGTTGCGTTTGAGGACATCCAATATCGATGTCTTCAAAAGGGGGAAGCGACGAAGACCCAGTCCACGACGGATTTACCACGGGCTAATAATAGCATCTACTTGCGAGGCGAAAGTATCCTGTGTGGGGACATCATAAGCAGCAGGCCAATAGTCAGATATGACATGAGCACGAGAACCCCTCTCCGACCATATAATATAAGTGATTGAATGAGATTACTCTTTATCCCTATATCGAGTACATCTAAACTCAGTCTTCTAGTTATCATCAACCTACCAAGCACCTAGTGCAACGGTGTATAGAATAGAATGTAAAGACAGTGCTTATACCCTCTTCCTTCGAGAACGGATGACATCCATATCGAGGCCCCAGCCCAACAACATCACGCCAGCAGCACCGACAAAACACGACCCCACATACAGAATCATATTCTCATATCTGCCATCGGCCACCTGGAAGCTCGCCATGCCAACAGCAGTATCGGGCGCCGTTGCTAAAACGGACGAGATGGGTGAACACAGTATGTTGCCTATGCCTCGAGATAGCAGAAGGTAACCGAACAAATACGTGGCCAGGTTCGGGTCGTCCTCTGTGGGTGCGAAAAATCAGTGCTGGTGCCGCTGGTATGCTTAAATTACATGCTTACTTGCGATGGGAGAAACAAACCCAGTCCACAGACTGCTCCACCCCCCGGCCAGGATACCATAGGTGATTCCAAAGGCAAGAAGCCCAGCTAGGTTTTGGGAGAGGACGCCCCATAGAACAGATGTGGCCAGAGACGTCGCGAAGAGCGTTGACATCTCCAAAAACCATGGATTGAACTTATCAGAGAGGTACCCCATAGATACGCGACCGAGTACAGAGGCTCCTAGAAGCTGAATCAGCAACGAAGTCGAGATCCCTGAGATGGAGTGTACCATTGAGGAGAGCCACAGTTAATGACAAATTCGTGGCACTCAAGTTCATAGCATGAGCAAAAGCTGAACATATTCCATCGTGTAAGAGAGCGTCTCGAGAGTGGATCGAAGCTTACTGGGTAGCCATACAATTGGTACAAAGTATCCAAACCCTTGGAAGGTATTTGCAGCAAGAAGGACCCAAAATGAAGTGCTTTTGATCCATTCTCGCGCGCGAGGAGGCGACATTTGCTGACGGTTCCTGGAATTAGGAATTCGCGGTTTTACGAAGGGGAGCACAGGTAGAAGGAGAGCCAGGAGGACGACAGATGGGATTCGCAATGTTTTTGCACTCTCGTAGCGGGAAATCAGTTCTGGAAGTATTAAAGGCAGTATCAGACCTCCAGTAGCCGTTCCTGCAAACCTTATTCAGACATAAGCGCCGATGGGAGGCAGTGGATTTGCGCACCAGCAAATATGACGCCATTTGCAAGGCCTCTGCGGGTCACAAACCATTCGGACATGTATGATATGCACGGGGCATACAGAAGGGATCCGCCGATAGCATATAGGACACCCTGCAAGCCTATTAAAGTCGAAATCTGGCATTGCCAGCTATACAACAGACCGAAAATCTTGAAGAAGAAAGCGACTTGCATTGGTGGTGTAACTCTCACCCAACAGGCTCACCCAACAGAGGGTAGCACCCACCCACATAAACGTTCGCCGACGGTAAGGATGCCTCGTGGTAATAGGGAAAATGATAGGGCCTAACAGGCGCTTAATGGGATCAACGGAAGGTCAGGCCATGCGGTACCCAAGCAATGGATGATTTGTGATGTAGTCATGCCTATGCTAGATAAATTGATGCGTACGATCAAGGAAGGCACCAAAAGCATTGAGAAATCCCCACACGAGTCCCTCGATGAAGAATGCTGCGATCAACTGTTCAACGTTAGTGTGAGGAACGGGAATGAAACTTGGAAGACGTACGAAGGACCATGCGCTGAATCCCTTGTCCACCGGTGCTAGCGACGACTCGTTTCATGAAGCCGTATCTTCTAACGCTCTTGTGAATTCGTAGCGAGCTCTATGCTCTCTGTTTGTCTCGACATGGTTGCAATTATTAGTGTAGAGTATGATTGGAAACCGAAAAAAAAACATAGATCAGTGAAGCGGACACAACGCGGTTCCAGTGTACGATTGGAAGGAAAGTGGCGCATGGAACAAAGACTTTGTAATTGAGGTAAAAGCACATAAGCCAAAACTTCCTGTACAATCAGCGTACGATTTGGTAGGTGACACATTCATCTAACTTGCACGACTTCGAGCGCGGCCTGCTCTTGCGTCTAGTGCCCATCCCAAGAGTGCAACCCCTGCAGCACCCGCAAAACACGACCCCACATACAAAATCATACTCTCAAATCTTCCTCCCGCAACTTGAAATCCCGTAGTCACCTTGCCAACGGCAGATTGCGACGCCGCAGCCAGCGTGGACGAGATTGGCGTGCATAAAATATTGCCTACTCCTCGCGAAAGCATGAGATATCCGATTAAGTACGTCACCAGGTTCGGGTCTTCTTCTGAATTGCGAGTGAGTAATGAGATCGGGCGTACATGAAGCAAGGCATACTAGCGATGGGAGCAATTAATCCTGTCCACAAACTACTCCACCCCCCAGCGAGAACACCGTAGGCAATACCGAATGATATAAGTCCGGCAAGGTTCCGTGAGAGAAGGCCCCAGAGGATAAATGTAGCAATTGATGTCGAAGTTAGTGTTGACAACGCGAGGAGCCATGGGTTTAGTCTGTCCGCTAGGTAACCTAGGGACAAACGACTGAGTAGAGAAGCACCTGTGAATATGTTTCAGCAAGAGCCTGTGTCTTGATTGAACACAATGACGTACCATTCAAAAGTGCAACAGCCAGCGAAGAGCTGGTACTACTTAGGTTCATTTCGTGTGCAAAAGCTAGAACAGACTTCCGTTAGCTCGAACTTTTTAGAGGTTTAAATGCTGACTAGGAAGCCATACAACAGGCACGAAGTAACCAAGGCCCTGGACGGTATTGACAGCAAGAAGAACCCAGAAGGTGGTGCTACTCATCCAGTCGCGTGAGCGAGGAGGCATTATTTGAGCGCGATTTCTAGATTCAGGGAGTCGAGGCTTGACTGATGCGACAATTGGTATGAGAATCGTTGTAAGCACGATGGAGATGATTCGGAGAGCCTTGGCCGATCCGTAGCGAGAGATGAGGGTGGGCAATACGAGAGGGAGGATCAATCCACCAGCCGAGGTTCCTGAAGGCATGCAATAAAAGCAGAGTTTGATAAAGAAACATATTTACGTACCAGCAAAGATGACACCGCTTGCAAGACCCCTCCGCATCACAAACCATTCCGTCATGTAAGATATACAAGGGGCGTACAGGAGCGATCCACCGATGGCATAGAGAATGCCTTGTAGGCCAATTAGGACTGGTACCTATAATCTTTGGTGAGAAACAGAGCGAGAACAGAAAACTGTACTCACCTTAGTGGCGAAACTAGCCCCAAAGAGACTCGCCCCGCAGAGGAATACGCCGATCCACATCATTGTACGGCGATAATATGGATACCGTATGTTGATGGGGAAAATTAGAGGACCTACGAGCCAATTAAATAAAAAGATTTCAGGAACAAATTTGGATGATGATACCAGAGCAGAAAATCATTCCCGACGACAGAGGCCCAATGAGAGGAAGTAAACTGGATGCATGGGGCTGGTTCATAAATTTCGGATCGTAGAGGTAGCCTGCATATTGAACTAAGTACCTGCTTTCCAAAATATCCAAGTAGGACGCACTATCAAGGAAGACACCAAAGGAGTCCGGGAAACCCCATACGACTCCTTCGACAACGAATGCAGCTAGGAGCTAAGCACACGGACAATTCTTATTTCAGAGAAATGTAAGGTCAAAGGAGGACGAACGAAAGACCAAGCGTCGAATCCACGGTCCACCGGTGCAAGGGACGACTCATTCAGCTGAACATGGTCCTCCTCTGGTTGCTGTGAGCGGTGCGAAATGTTGCTGAGCTCGATGCTCTGTGTTCGCGTTGACGACATGACTTAAACTTGTCGGATTGTTCTCGGTATATTCAAATATCTCGGTATAGGAATAGCCGTGGTCTTGAGGGCCGGACTACAGCGGAAGCGGGATTCCACCTTTTCAAGGAGGTTTCTTGCGAAGAACACACAAGGAGGAGGAAAAAGAACGAAGCCGAAAAGAGGGTAGTGACAGCAAAAGGCAACCAAATTGAGCCAAATTTAGAGCTCCCCCTTCGGGCAGGGGCATTGAAAGATAACGACTTTTACTGCCTGATCTGAAAAAAAGATGGAAAGATGAAGACTGCCTTTAGTTTTATTACTTTTAAACTTAACAACATAGTCAAAAGAAGACCCAAGTTGGGATGAATATGATCTTATGTTCCAGTCATGCAGCATGCCTCCGAATGTTATTCAGCTTCAAGAGTTCACATGTTCAGTGCTGAGGACTGCCCTTTTTAAGAGAAATC